CTAGCACGCACTAAGGTTCTGAAATATGCGCTGCGTCAGAAACAATCAGAACTCGCCCATTTAGCAACGCTCACCAAGGCCGAAAAGGCCAACTGGAAGTCCCTATATGACATAGTGGTGTTGAAGATTGCGGGCAATTTAGGTTATAAAGTGGAACTCGCGGATAGCAAGCTTAGAGCTGCTACTGCCTTCCCCGTGACCGTGGCCACTAAATACCACACGATACACTAAGCATGCCAGACCTATACCTACCGGGTACTAGCGCTTGCAAGAGCCAGCATCGATCGCGCAGAGATCCAGAAGATTGCTAAGATATAACTAAAGGATACTACCGACGTGGAAATAACGGATATGTCCAAAGAGCCCGCTATGCGGGATATCGTCCGAGAGGAGCTTGCTACACTTAAACGAGACTTATCTCGGGTCACAGGTTCATCGCCACCAGCCAAACGGCGGGGAGACCAACTAACAACTAACAGGGAAAGCAAAACCCTCCGGATAAGTATAGAAAAAACTATCTAGAAAGAAAGGAGGGAAGAAGAATAATGGAAAGAAGAAGGGAAAGAAGTCTCGATAGACGCTTACCTCCATGAATGTTCCCGGGAATTTCGTCCATAGGCTCCGGACACCTTCCCAAATATATATACTAGTCTAAGTGATAGTTACAGGTTAAAAATTAGAATCGCGTTCTTACGAGAATGGGAGGCAGATTCACTTCGTGTATCTCGCCCCGGTGTTTTCCAGTTCCCAGGTGTCCACCTCCCAGATAATATCGAGTACATATTAGCTATCAACCATAAGTACATACTACACCCACGACTAGAGACACATAACGTCGCCTCGGCTAAAGAACATTTCGCAAGAATGGTTCGTATCCGATGGCAGTTCAGAAATGAAACGTCGAAAAAGGAGTTTATACCCAAATTCCATATCAAGAATCCGTTTTGGTAACCGTAAAAAGCCTCCCCGGCGATTAAACTTGGCCTGACTAAAGCCATGGCAGTGATCGACTCCCATGTGAGTCGAGCACTGGCGACCATGGCCCTATCGGCCCCCAGACAGAGAAATCTAAACTAGACTAGGGTTTAAGACTTCTTTGTTAAGCACGGTCTCCTTATAAAGCTCATAGATAAGAATCTAGGACTTACGGTGTTCACGTCAGAATAGTATTCTTAAGAAATCCAAAAGATGCTCGCCGATATTACAACCTATAAATAGGTATAACAGGTAGATATAGAAAAACTCCTCGGCTAGCTTAAGACCGGCCTCCTGAAATGGAAGCTGCCTCCAAATATAGAGAAATTTGTGAGAGAAAAAACAGAGTCAAAGATCCCAGAGTTCCACGCGATCCCCAAGGTACATAAGAATCCTTAGACTCTACGACCAATCGTCCCCTCCCACTCATAGGTAACGAGTCGTCTCTCAGAAGTTATCGATCACCTATACCGTCCGATCTTGGACGAATTGCCGTGGGTTGTTAATTCTACTAAACAAGTAGTCAATAACCTGTCCAAGCTACGGGTCGAACCTGGAAAAGATGTTTAGTTTTGCACCGGGGATATAGTTGCATTCTACACTAACATCGATGCTCGGAAATACGCCAAGACTATGGCCGGAGCATAGAGACAGTATCTCCCAGATTCGAAAATCCAAGATAAAATAATCAAAGAAATGATTAAGTTTATTATGGATAATAATTACTTTTTATTTTCCGACACCCTATGGAAACAGCTAAATGGTTTAGCCATGGGTACCTCGTGCGCCCCTATCCTGGCAAACATCTACGCTGTATTCTTTGAAAGGAAACATCGATTAACCTCATAACCTGGGGTTTTACTGTATAACCGGTACATCGATAACATCTTATATATCTTTTAAGGAACGAAGAAAGAATTGACAGACTTCCTACAATGTGTTCAGCTTGGGTCGCTAACTATTAATTAGTCCTTTTTATTACTAAAGAAGGAGTTTCTGGATATAGAAATCCTTAAGCTCTTGACCCCGACCGGACCACGAATTAGTACGCGTCTCTTTAAAAAATAAATGAATCGGCACCTTTATATTCCCTGGTCGTTAGCTTATCCCCTTTATATGAAGAAAGCCTTCGTTAAGGCGGAGCTTATACGATTTGCTATTATAAGTTCTGAAGTCGGGTATTTTGCAGATACTCGCGTATAGTTCTTTGGTAATCTAAGAAGGAGAGGGTATCTATCTTAGATACTGGAAAACTGGTTTTCCTAAGTGTTATACGACGATAGGCCTATCTTTTTATCCTCCTAAAAGGAGACACTAGAGCACGCGCCACTTATATTATCGGGCTAGTATAACCTAGTATAGGAATATATAAATATCGAAGAGATTATTCGGATAGCGAGGTAAGAATAGAATTAGGAAAAGAACTTACCTGATTCCCTTTCTGGGCCGTTAATCCGAAGTCTTAGCAGACACACGAGTCTTTTCGACTTACTATTTACTTAGAATAAGACGATCTTATACCCTTATATACAGAGTTCCGAATACTCCGCGTAAGTACCTCGTGCTTTACCGCTTCCGCGAGGAGGCGGGCCTCCGCTGCCCGCCCCTAGTGCGCCGCGAGGTGTCCTCGGGGGCTTCTATGCACCGCGAGGTGCCCCTGGCGATAGGGCGGTGGTCCGGGTGCCCGGGCGGAACGCGCTAGAGTTAGTAGACTTATCGGCTGCTAGGATAGGGTCCGAAAAGATATCTAACAGGATATGAGTATTCCCTGGCTAGGGAGGCTATTAGCTTAGCTTTTTACGAAGGTGCCCCCCCGGGGTAGTAGCGTTTAGGACGCTACGGAGCACCGCCCTATAAGCTACGTCGCCACGCCTCTTCCACCCGGGGTGCCCCCCTTAGGGGTATCGCCCTTAGTGGCTCGTGCTATATATTAGTCTCCTCTAAGCCGGACGATATCCTAGTACGCGATTATACCCAGCCCCGATAAGGTCTCCGTCACTATAAGATATTACAGATTTCATTCGATAAAAAGAACGGTGACAGGTTACCTAATTAAAGAGGCTTTATAGGTTTAAACCCCTAACCCTAACCTAAACTAATCCTAACTAAGTCCGCTAATCTTAGCTCCCCCGTGTGGCACACGGTGCGGATACTATATATTACGTAATTATAGTAGGAAAAAAGGTTTTAATTAGCTCTTATATATAAGCACGGCAACGCGTATATGCATAAGCAGCTATATTTCGTCACACGCCAGTGCTCCAATCACAGACCGTGGTTAGCGAGGAGGTCGGCGAGGTAAACCACCCTCGGGGTCTTAAGGTCCCCGAAGGAAGACACCTTACCACCTTGCTCACGAGCATAAATACGGCGCATCCCACGACACTTAGATATGCCCTGATAAGCCTAAGCACGGCGAAACTCGAGACTTTTTCCTGGATCGGAGGTCCGAGTCGGCACAAACGTGAAGTCGCTCATCATCTCTGCAAACAAAGCGCTCCCCTCTCTAATATATTTAACCCTAACCCTAACCCTAACCCTTTTAGGGGGTCTTATAGGGGCGTTCTTATTATTATTATTAATAAGGGTAGCTATCTCGAATAACCTCTACGCGTAGCCTTTAAGGTACGCTAGGAGAGGAGTATACCGGTATATTTTTATAGAGTATATATAGTATTTCTTCCCCCGATTAGTTTAGCTATAATAGAGGCGCTTATACTTCCTATCAGCGATATCGCGCGTATAAAGGAGGTATAGCTTAGTATAAATATTACCGGAAGGGTATTAAAAAGGCCGACTACCCGCCGATTTTTTCTTCTTAGGCGGCGGCGAGGGCGATAACGCGAATTATTAAACGGTTAGTATCGCCTTAAGACGTAAGAGTGTTATACCTATATTATTATCGGCGGCACGCTTATTACTATTATTACCCCTATTATTACCGGGGGCTAACGCTATCTATAAAAACGATATAAGTTAGTAAAGGGTTCCTAATAAAAAGATTACGAGTAAGAGATAGCTTTCCTTAGATAGGGAACTCTTAAACTAGCCGAGTATTAATATTATTATCTAAGGACGGGCGATATTAGAGGAATTATCGTTATAAGGAAAAAGAGTATATACGTAACCGCTATTACTATTATTATTATTATTAAACGTAGGGAGGGAAATAGAGGAAAAGAGGGCCTATAAGGAAAACGGGGCCAATATATCTACGGATAGTATCTACGCGAGGGTAGCATATATTACTATTTCGGGCACGTAAATAAAGGTTAGTAGGCTACTTAAGATTTCTTTAATATCGAGGTAAGGGCGAGGTAAGATAAAAAAACGCGACTATTCCTTTATTACCGCGACGTAAAGGGGAGCTAAACTATAACGGTAACGCGTGGTTATATAACCCCCGGAGGGAGAGGGGGGGAATAGTATTACGGGTTAACCCCGATATAAAGGATCCGGCTATACTCCGGATCTTCCTAACTACGCGCTTAGTTAATAGACCTATATCGTTAAGTCATCGCTACCTTATAGCTAGCCTAGTGCTATAGACTTTTCTCCTTTTCCTTCCTTAGTTCTAGATAATCTATTATTACGACCTTACTTAGTGCCACGACCTATAACTAGTCGTTTATAGGGCGATTAAGGGGTATATTAAATACACTATAGTCTTTTCGGTTACGTAATAGGCCGGATTACTAAGAGTATAATCCGGGTAGACGCTTATAGAATCTGCACTATATAAAATACGGTGGCAGCGTTTCCCTAACGGTCTAAGACAGTTATAGTTATATATAATTGCCTTAATTAATTTTAACCTATTTTATAACGATTTTGACTACGCTTTATCTGACAACTAGTCGACATCAACGCCGAGGCCGTGGATAGCTATAATGCTGGCGCCGTTGGCGAGTCGCCTCGGAACTTACTCGATTACGGCTTTCTAATCATACAAGAATGTCTTAACCTACAACTTAGCCATGTCTGTATCGAATCAAAGTCTTCACCGGTCTTTTCTTCGCTCCTCTTCATAGTCCCTCCTCATCCTCCACCCACACAGCCTTCCCAGACTCGTCGGTCTGTACCTTCCTGCTTATTACCTCCTTCACAATGGCAGCAATGCCCTGCCGGCCATTACGGGTCGCCACTATATGCTTCTCCACTTCCTTGGGTGACATGATACCCGACTCTACGACCTTCCTGATCTCCTCCTCGGTGGGAACGCCGAGCTCGGGGAACTGGTACTCGTTGTAATCCTCCTCATTAAACAGCTCCAGCGGCTCGATGTCCTCGATCGACTCGAAGAAAGGGTCCACCACCGCCCCGGCGTCCTGGACGTCCTCCAGCGTCGCAGGCTGCCAGGCCGGGGCACGCGGGTTGTCGCGGCTCATCAACAGGGCTCCGACACCTTCATTGAAGTCGGGGTGACGCATGAAGTGTGCCGCGATCTCGTGCTCGCGCTTAAAGGTCTCGGCGATGGACCATCCCCGGCCCAAGCGCATCTGCCGCAGCGTGACGTTCACCGCGGTCGGCGACCGCTTGTGCAAAGTGTCCAGGGTCTTCTCCGCCCACTTCTGGGTCGCCGGGCTACTAGCTTCGGCCCGAAGCGCGGCGACGATATCCTCGACGCTGTTCTTGCTGAAGCACCGGTCGATGGCCTTGCGCACTTCGCCCGAGATCTGCATCGGTTCATCTTGAGGCAGCCCCGTGGCGTACTCTTCGAGGGTGTCCTTGATGAGCGAAAGCCGCTTCTCCAGAGGGTCGTAGTCCCGGAATCGGAGCTCGGCTAGGCGGGACTCGACGGCGGGTAGGCTGGTCGAGTGCAGGTAGTGCGTGGCGACACCCGAGTAGAACACGTTCGCGCCCTTGAGACGGTCGCTCGTCAGGGCCAGGTACGTGCCGACGGCGCCATTCATCCGGGGCAGGAAGAAAGACGCGCCCACGTCGGGGAAGAAGCCGATGGTGGTCTCCGGCATGGCAAAAACGGTCCTCTCGGTGGCGATGCGGAAGGGCGCGTGGATGGTCAGACCGACACCGCCGCCCATGGTAATTCCGTCCATGAAGGCCACGTACGGCTTCTTGTATGTGGCGATGTAGTGGTCCAGCTTGTACTCCATCCCGAAGTAGGATGCGCTCTTCTTCCAGCCGTCAGGACTTTCCTTGTTGACGTTGACCAGCGCCGTGACGTCGCCGCCGGCACAGAAAGCTTTCTCGCCGGCGCCCTTCATAACGATGATATTGGCCATGTCGGATTTTTCCCACTCGTGCAGGCGAGGTACGATTTTGCGGATCATGGAGGCAGTGAGAGAGTTGAGCTTCTTTGGCCGGTTGAGCTCGATGGTCCGCAGACCGTAGAGACTGTTGAACAAGACATCATCGGCCTCGTCTTCGGGTAGGGGCTTGAACTCGTCATTGGAGATTTTGGTCGACATCTACAGAAGCAGATGTGATTAGAAGCCTCGTTTCTTGAATGAAAAAAAAAGGGGGAGACAAGGCTTTCTCCCCCCTTTCTAGCGCAGAGAAGATGCGCATAATCGAATCTGCAACAGGGAAACTTACCTGTGCCCGTGATACGCCACTGCCAGCGGAGACCTTGACCCTGAGAGGCATGGCGAAGGTCCTGGTGCACCGGCACGGAGCTGGCAGAGCTCGAACGGCAATGGTCCTGGAAAACATTGGCGGGAAAGCAGAGACAGTAGACTCAATGCGCTGGGTCTACCGACAATTGCGCATCGAGGGAATTGATAGTCGTCGGACAAGGGATTCGAGGGTCAAGAGTCGGAAATGTTGGAAGGGAATGGTCGTAATATTGAGGGGGTGAATTGAGTGATGGACAGGCCTGTCGGCAATGGTTTTCCAAGCTCTGCTCTGCCTTAACAATTTCTGGTTGAGGCCGAGGATACCCATCAATGCTTGGCATTGTCCCGCATACGGGTAGGACTTGCTGCACGCTTGATTACGAACACGCCTGTAGTATGGTGGGTCACTATCGGATTGTCTCTTTTTCCGAGGCCGTAGATCCACACCCAGGGCGTCCAATCAACGCAGCCAGTTGCATCAGTGAAGCTTTCGACATCAATTCTGTATCTCGGCCTTCTATCAGGGACAAATACTTCGTATATCGATCCCATCTCGTCAACGCCTACATCACCACCACGCGACTTGCACGAACTTTCCCCCCGCCCGACCTCTGCACGGTACTACCCATTAGTTCACACCGATATTGAACTTAGCATCGTACACCTTCGTCCTCTCGTCACCGTCGAAAGCCCCGCCCACACACGAGCCCCGAAACGCGAAACAGCAGAGAGGCACCATGTCGGACCCGAAGATCCAAGAACTTCTCACCAAGCCCCGCAACGAACTGACGGAATACGAGATTGCCCAGCTCGAGGAACATGAGTTCAGCGCCGGACCCCTCTCCATCCTCCAGACCGCCGTCCGCTCCCACACCCAAGTCCTGATCTCGATCCGGAACAACCGCAAGCTTCTGGCGCGTGTGAAGGCTTTTGACCGTCACTGCAACATGTACGTTTGGAATGATTGGAATCCAGTAGCAAATATCCCTACCCTTTTTCTTGCTCTTGCTAACATTCTTGCAGGGTCCTAGAGAACGTTGTACGTGCCTAGTCTCATTTCTCCCCCGGCCCAGGACTCAGCTTTGCTTCGTTCGCCCCTCCCTTCGGGGGAGAACATCACCCATCTCTCACCTAGAATGTGTCCGCTGACGAATTGCGTTCCCCTACTTCCAGAAAGAAATGTGGACAGAAACCCCCCGGTCAGCAGACGGCAAGAAGGGAAGGCCCGTGAACAAGGACAGATTTATCAGCAAGCTGTGAGTTCTTCTTTTTCCTTCCTCGTCATAACCTGCCCCGCGCTGACGGAGTATATGTTAGTTTCCTACGAGGTGACAGCGTAATCTTGGTACTCCTCAGCTGATACGAACGCCGAGAATCACGGTTTCCAAGGGTGTCAAATGCAGAGAGACGAAACACCACGAGTCTGGGGACAGTAGCGAGCGAAAAGAGGGGTGGATGATACGCATGAAATATATCATGTTCGGTTCGAGTCGACAGCGATCTGCAGACGAAGCCCTACGAGGGAGGGGGTAGAAAAGAAGGGCTCAACACTATTGAATGGCTCCCTCGTACAAAAGTCGTGCGGTTTCCGATTTGGAAGGAAGAAAGAAAATCCGCAGTTACTGGAAATGTCTGCGGCAGGGAAATGCCACCGCTAAAAGGAGGGGTCAAGAGTAAGGGCGTTTGACTGCGGTTGAGTGGAATATCCAGGACGTCCCGGCCCGGCGTCCGGATAACCTCCTGCGAGATGATTGACACGCCTCTTCGTTTTATTTGGAGCAACGGCTCTCGCCAGGCAGCAGACGGGCTGGTCATGGTCAGCCCGAATGAAATCTTTCTTCTCGAATATTGCCTTGCGCCATGCACTGCGGTGCACTTCGATGTAACGTCCCCATAATCCCCTGCGTTGTCCAGGTATGCTCCCGCGTCCCTGGGAATCCGGTACATGTCCGCGTGTCGCCCATCTCTCACATAGAATAAGTTATTCCCTTCCATTCCCCATCAGGCGTTCTTCCAAAATGAGCTAAAAACAGCATTTTCCAATGTGGAAGATATTAAATGATGGGTCAGTCACAATCAGTGCTTTCTCACAAGTATATTTCTTTTATCACATCAGCCTAGTTCGACCCCGCCAACCCGGCAAAGAAACGACTCAAACCCCAGGCCCCAGGATCGGGGACCTGCTCGAACCCGCTACCGCCGACGTAGACGCTCCGGCCCAGGCTAGCCTTCATGCCCTTTGTGCTCTCGGCCCCTCGGCAAGAGGCCTCTGCCGCCTTGCGCACGTCCGCCGTCTCGGCCAGGGTCTGGACGAACGGGGCGAGGGCGTCGACGAGGGTGCGGTCTCCCGGTCGGGCCGGGGTGTAGCGGGCCATGGCGTCGCTGCCCTCGTGGAGGGCATCGGCCCAGGCCGAGGCGTCGGCGGTCTGGGTAGAAGCGGCCAGGCCACGGAGGGCGCCGACGAGGGAGTTGAGAAAGATGGCGTAGAGGGCGCCCGAAGTGCCGTCCATGGAGGACTCGACAACGGGCACGATGGAAGCGACGTCTATAACTGCATCGCCGGTGAGGGGGTTGGATTCGATATGTGAAAGGATGGCTGGCAATGGGTTGTGTCAGTGTGTTCCGTCTTATCGGAATAAATAAGGGGGAAAGGTAAAAGAAAAGACAAAAAGACGAACAAAACAAAGGGGGGGGTGAACATACCCTCAGCACCTCTCTTAAGGCCGATACCGCAATCTCCATCTCCTACAACGGTATCATACTTGGTGATCTCAGGCTCAGCCGCGATGACGCTCTTCAACGCAGCAGTGATTCTCTCAGTGGCAGCGGAGGCGTCGTATTTCAACCCGCTAGGCTGCACCTGCTGCTCCTGAGAAGCGTCACCCTCCCGGGTAGCCTGGTTCTTGGCCTCCCACGTGTCCTTGGAGATGGGAGCGGACCAGCCTGTCGCCTCGGCCGGGTCATCCAGCAACTCGACCATTCCCGGCCCACCAATATCGGTGTTGACGACGTTCAACAGAGTGATACTGAAACCCAGTCCGTTCAAGCTGGTCATGTAGGTGCCGCTGAGGATGCGGACGGGACAGATGCCGTACGACTTGTCCAGCTGTGCCACCACCTCGGTAGTGATACCGCCCAGTTCCAAGACACTGACGCCGCCGAGGTTGTTCACGAGCAAAACGACCTCGTTCGAGTTGACGTCGAGGAAAGCGCGGTCTTCGTCAGACTTGTCGAGAAGCTGGGCGAGCATGCGGCGCACCAACTCGGGAAGCTCGAGATCCCTGGCCCTCCCAGACCCAGGCTCGTTATGGATGCCCATGCCCAGCTCGACCTCACCCAGCGCGAGGGCGCCTTCTTCTTCATCCTCTTCGCCAGGGACAGCCCGACCGGGCACATGAACATGCTCCAAGCTGGCCCCGACGCTCACGAGGTTCTCGGCAGCGAGTCGCGCGACCTTGGCGACTTCCTTCAGGGACCTCCCGCGGGCGGCCAGGGCACCGGCAATCTTATGGATAAGGACGGTGCCGGCGATGCCGCGACGACCGACCTTCCCGGCCCTGGCGCGGCCCACGCCGACGTCGTCCCCCACGACGAGCATCTCCACGCGTAAGCCGGCGGCACGGGCCTTCTCGACGGCGACGCCAAAGTTGAGGACGTCCCCGGTGTAGTTCATGACGGTGACGAGGACGCCGGAACCGTTGTCGACGCGGCCCACGATGGCGGTGCGGACTTGCTCGGCCGAGGGCGAGGCGAAGATGGTCCCTGCGACGGCGGCGGAGAGGAGGCCCTTGCCTACCATGGCGGCGAAGGAGGGTTCGTGGCCCGACCCGCCTCCGGAGATGACGGCCACTGTTTGGGAAGGGGAGGATGGGTCTGGACGGCGGTAGACGATCTTGTTGGCGGCATCAAGGGCTAGGGAAGGGTTGGTCAGGGTGACGCTGTGAAGGGCGTCGGCGACCAGCTTTGCCGGGTCGTCGATGAAGTGTTTGGCGGACATGGCAGCGGGCGGACGATGAAGAGGCTAGATAAGTAAGGTAGGGAAATCTCCAAAAAGGTGCCGAGGTGTTGAAGAAGTACGGCACCTACGAAGAACTTCAAGTCACCTTGAGATTGGTGACTCGTGAGTGGTGAGTGCCTACGTTAGGTTAAGTGGGGAGAACTTTCAAGTTTTGGGCCCAAGCAAAGGGTGAGGGGAGGGAAGAAAGGAGGACTTGGATCCCACGATGAGTCGATGACCCTACGGCAAGGTCGGCAAGGGAGTCAACAATTTGACACGCCGCTCAGTATCCGTGACTTCCACTCGACTGACCGCGGGGTGCAGTTTCCCATTTTCTTCATCGTAAGGTACCTCCAAGTTAGCTTACGTTATGCAACTCGGTAGTCAAAATCCCGAGAACGGGGAAGATGACGTCGAAGCATACGAGCTAAGGAAGGTAGCCTCGTTCCGCCCTAAAACGAACGGCCTCGTATTACAGAGTACCTACCTAAGGTAGAATCGACATGTAGCAAGTCCACACTTGGTACATACACATCTCTCATTCCCCGCTCTACACGTACCTTCACGAGCATCTCAGGTGGGGTTGACGATGCGGGGTCACCTTAAAGTCTCGGTGCCGGATAAGGGCAGAAGAGGGAGCATCACGCCGTCCTTGAATGGCTTCCCTTTCAATATTTTGCCAATTGCCTGTAGAAGATCACAAGATTAAAATCTAGTCTCTATTTCTCATTGAATGCATCTATTTATGTAAAAGGAAGAATCATCCCAGTCATTACAACGGCCAAATCATCACAATATCTGGCCATCGAGAAGATGTCTAATACGCCTGGTACCATGCTAAAAAACGACGCCCTATTATATGCATAATACAAAATATGGCTATGAATAGAAAAGAAGAAGAAAGGCCCCCGCTCACCGTATCACACAATAGCACTCACTTTGAACTTTTGAAGCAGCTTCCCGCCTACTTCACCATGAAGATGCAGCCTGCCACCAGGCTCAGGGCAATCCCCGACGTCAGGAACCCCGCCGCCACCTGGTCCGCTGTCGTTATGGCCGGCATATCCCACGAGTGTGGCTCCATGCCGGCCCCGGGATCCCCCCTCGACGAACCGCCCGTCTCGGCCGTGACGGGGGCCGTCCGCCCGGGTTGTATCAGCGTGTACATGACGGCCGAGAGCGCGTTCATCTGCTCCCCGACGCCCACGAGCCCGTCAAAGAAGCCGCGCGGGTGCCACTGCAGGCCGCAGGCGGTCCCGGGCATCCCACGGAACCCTTCGACCGGGTCCCCCGAGCAGGCGGCGGCGGCGCCCTCGGCGTTGGGCCGCAACAGGGCCATGATGCGGTCGAATGTCTGGGGCACGACCTGGGCGGTGCCGGCCATCCAGCGCGCCAGGTAGCCCTTGAAGCTGCGCTGGTCCAGGTTGCAGAAGCCGAAGGGCTCGCAGCGCTGCTCGCTCATAACGCCCTCGGTGAAGAAGCGGCGCTCGGCCTCGTCCAGCAGGCCCCGGGTCCGCGCCAGCCAGACGTCGTCGCCCGTGACGTTGTACATGACGGCGGCGCCGTGCAGGAAGATGCCGGCGTTGTACGACCACTGGTTCGTGTCCATCTCGGGGCACTCGGCGGCGTTGTCGTCGCGCACGGTGACACCGTCGTAGACACGAAAGTCGTCAGTGATGAGCCCCGTGGCCACCTCCCAGTCCCACACGCGCTGCGCCCAGTCGGCGTAGGTCTGGTTGCCGGTGAAGCGGGCGAGCCGGGCGGCCAGGTTGAAAAAGCAGCCGTTGGAGATGGAGTTCTTGTAGTCGAAGCCGCCGTTGATGAAGAAGATCTGCCACCGCAGCCCCCCGCCGCACGACCTGTCGTCCCACCGCGTGACCCACTGGTTGAAGGCGGCCTGCACCAGGGCCAGCCACTGCGGCATGTCGTCGGGCGGGTCGGGGAAGTTGTTCTCGGCGGCGCTCATGGCCGCCATGGCCCAGAAGCCCTGGTCGTCGTTGCCCAGGGACAGGGTCTGGTTTTTCGGCATGAAGTCATCGTTTTCGCCTCGTTGGTGTAATAGCGCCTGCATCGTGGCCTCGTTGTGGGAGGGGTCCCCTGTCAAGAACCAGTAGTCGACCATGGTGCCGAACATGGCTCCGGCTTTCCACCCTGTTGAGTTGTCAGTGGCTGTTCTGAGAGTGGGAGAAAAAAAAAGAAGGAAAAAGAGAGGGAAAAAAGAAAAAGCCTTTTTCGGGCCCTATCCGGAAGAGGAGGAGTGGAGTGGACGTACAGAAGTAAGGATCCGGTAGGTTCCCTGGCACATCGCCCGTGTTGTTGCCAGTGTAGTAACTCATGAGACCAAACGCTATGGTGCTCGCGGCATCCTTCACCGACTGGGTATCGTCAAAGTTCACTTCGATGGCTCTTGCGGCGTTGCACAGCAAACTGGAAACCCCCAATATGGGAAAAAGACGCATGGCGTCGAAGCGATGGGCTCGATGGGTTCGAACTATTATGGTATTCGGCGGGAATGTCCAAGTTTTGAGGACACGGGGACACGCAAGTCGTCTTCGGCGAAAGGGTAGTGATACGTTGGTAGGATGCACGCCTTTGAGATGAAACAAAGCGAGAGTCTGAATATAAGAAAACGAATGTCGCCTGGACTTTGAATGAAAGAAAAAGAGTGAAGTGGAAAAACGAACTCAAGTCGGCACAGCGACACAAGAGTCCAATACCGAAAGGGCTCGTCCAGGAGCAAAAGAAAACGAATGGAATGGAATAGACGGCCCCCAGGGCAGCGGCCGGGCAAAAAGGGAGAAAGAAAGGGTAAATGCTTCACCAGAAGCGTCACGAATAAAAGAATAAAAAGGAAAAAGAGAAGGGGATGATGGTCGTTGGAGGAAACAAAGAAAGAAACGAGACAAACAGGCAAGAGCCCGTCAAGTCTCGAGTCTCAAAGCCCACATCTGAAGAAGGCAGCGGAGCCAAGGGAAGAGGCCCAACCGCCGGACTGGGGGGTATGAAGCCAAGTGCTTCGTAGCCTGTGGGTTATGATGAGCGGAACCATGCCAGATTCGCGATCCGTGGGTGCGGATGACCGTCCAAGAGTTTTTGGTTCCATTACGGGTCTCAAGCCGGGGAATTTTCCTCGTCCCGTTGGCCGGAACGATCACCGAGACCCCATGGACCATGACAGCGGCTCACGATGATGCCGACGGAGACAGGATGGATGAGGCTGTGTTCTCCGTGTTACGTAGCCCGTGGGTGTAATAACGGCGCGTAGGTGGTAATTAATTAGGTGGTAAGTTGCTCTGAGCCTAGGCCTAAGCCTAATCGTGAATCTCGAGACGATGAAACGGCCCCGGTGGGAGCCAAGTCCGAGAGGCGTCTCACGATGCAGGATGCAAGATGCGTGGCCTAAGGGAGTAAGAAGAATCCCTGTACCCCGTATTCCATACCGAGCGATCGCACTTTGTAGAGAATATAAAGTCCTGGCTATTTTTCGTACCTCGTAGTCGTAGATCCGTTGCAACGCGGGAACAGCTGAACTCGTTGAACCCCGGTCGAGTCACTGAAGATCGGCTGGGCCACAATCCGCCGGCAGCTATATACCCTTGCTCCGTCGTTGAGTCTGAGAAAAGATGGGATGCGATCCTTCAGTTCAGAGACATGCTGAGTAGCAGCGTCATGTGTTGATCGCATGCAACCTATGCCTTGCATACTGGTATGAGGTAATTCATCATGTATCGTAGAAATGGCCGGCATCAACCACTGAATTCGAGGAGGACGGGAAGAACAAGATCACTGACGATCGGTCTAGTCAAATCCCATGAGAGGCTGGAAAATGAATGATCCTAAACTTCAAGTGATCATTGTCGAAAAGTTGAGGCTGTCAGGATGTCAGGACGCCCGAAGTGGTAAAGAAGAGGAAAGAAGAGTGTAAGCGTCCGTACGTAATTACTTCGTACTTTTTTAGGGTGACTTTCACCGGCCCCCTGTTTCAGGGCGTTTCAGCTGTGGTTCTTAGTGCCCTGGGCAAGAGAACAATATGCTTACCTTAGTAAGACTAGGAGTACTTAGGTACCTAGCGAAAACAACGAGATTGATTAATAAGGAAGAATCTCCTGCCCCTCTAGCTGAGGGTATAAAGCTAAATACAGTAACCCCGCTTCAGGGCGGGTTACGTAAGCCGCCCATCAGTAGCCTCGGCGGTCGCACACTCGGACCAACACAACTTCACTTCTCAAGACGCGCTTGTCAAACTCGCTGTCCTCCTACAGCCTTGTCAAGTTTGTCCCTGCACAACACCTCAATGCGAAGTACGCCAGCCGCCTTTCTTCTTCTCTGGCTTTTCATCTCCCCTCGCTTGTCTTACTACCTTTCGCCGCATTTTGCAACGTCACTTCAATTCCGCCATGGTCTAGTCTCGATTTTCTTGTCCACAACTCGATGTCGCGACGACCCAACACCTTTGCCTCACATTGCCTCGCCATTCAGAACCAAACCTCTAGAGCCGACACAGGCCACCATGGCTACTGCGGCACTCCCCGCCGTAGTGCTCGCGGCGGCTACAAATGACCCGGCGATTGAAGCGTCTTTGATGGACACGCAAGATGCCTCTTCTACGTCGGCCGCACCGGCCCCCGGCCGACGCTTCACTGCTGCCGACCTCCCCCTTCCATCAGCAACGCGCGCTGCCATCGATTCGCTCGCTCATAGCTATAAGAAGAAGGGTGGTTATGATGCTATGCGGAAGGAAGTTTGGGACAAGTTCGCCGCCAGCGTATGTCCCCTTTTTCCCTTTTCTTTTCAAAAGAGAACAAAAAAAAAAACCCCTTTCAGCCACCCCCTTTCCTTCGCTGTCTCTAATCCCTATTCTCCCCCTCCTAACAGCCTAACAGGACTACGAGGCCCAAGTCACCAAGGCCATTCTCGAAGTCGCCGAACAAGAAGTTGAAAAGCACCCTGGTCGAATCCTCACCCTCGACCGTGGCAAGGCCGCCGCCCTAATCGACGGCGCCCTCGAACGATCAGGTGTCTACCAAAAGGCCCAGGAAGTCATCACCCAGCTCATCGACCGCGACGCCATCCAACAAGGTATCCGGGAGCTCCGCCGCGCCGACATTGGAGACGAAGAAGCCGAAGCTGAGAGGATCCGTGGCGCCAAAACGGACGAGGAGTACTACCAGGAGACCCTCGAGAGGCAGGCTGCACGTGAGCAGGAGCGCGAGAACCTGCGGAGGCTGGAGGCCGCCATCGAGGAAGGGAAGCGTGAGATCGCCCGTGAGGAGCGCAAGAGGCTTGAGAAGGAGCGTGAGAAGGCCGAGATCAGACGCAGGGAGGAGCGGGATGCCCGCCGCGCCGCACGCGAGGCCGCCGAAGCCCAGAGGGAGAAGGAGCGGGAAGAACGCCGGAAACTCCGAGAGCTCGAGAAGGCTCGCCAGGCCGAGAGACCACCACAGAGCCGTAGTCGCAGTCCAAGCCGACACCGAGATCGTGGCCGGGATCGTGACCGAGATCGCGACAGAGATAGAGACACGGAAAGGGACAGACACAGAGACAAAGACAGAGACAGAGACAGAGACAGAGAACGGCAATCTCGCCACCTCGACGACAGTCGAGATGGTGACCGCAGCCGGGAGAGGAGGGAACACGAGGACAGGGAGAGGAGACGTCGCGATCGAGAGGAGGAACTGCGGAAGGCGAAAGAAGGCCTCTCCAAGGAACAGCTGGAACAGCTCGAGCAGGAGGCTCTGGCCGATCTTCTGCGGGAATGCGGCAACCCCGAGCCAAAGCAGCCCGAGTTGGAAATCGACGAGGCACTCGCTCTCGCCCCGCCTCCAAGGAAGCTTGCCCGCGCTTCCGCCATCATGCCCCTCAAAAAGGACTCGCCCCGCGACTCTCCCAAGCTCTCCGACAAGCGCGCAGCCGATTCGGCGGCCTCCATCGCCACGCCGGACACTAAGAAAGACAAGGAGAAAGCTCACGGAACCGCCACGAAGCCTCCGTCTGAGCTCCCGAAGGAACGTCATCGAGACAGCGACAGGGACCAAGAGGACGAAAAGGATAAGCTCCGGGATCGGACTCATCATCATCGCCCTCGGGACGATGGCGGTCCTTCCAGAAAAAACCACCGGTCGGAGTCACCACGACCCCGGCATCGTTCTCGCGAAAGGACTGAGCGGCGGGAGAGGTCACGCTCAAGACACCGGCGGGACAGGGAGAAAGACAGGGTCAGGAGTAGGAGCAGGAGTCGTGCTACAGAACGACGTGAGAGGAGCCGCTATGACCGAAGAGATCGCAGCCGTGAACGCAGCCGCTCCCGCCAGCGCAACGACAGGTACGACCGAGATATGAGTCGTCCCCGTCGACACGATCGCGATCGGGCGAGAGACCGAGACAGAGACAGAGATAGGCACAGGTCCCGCTCCCCACGCCACCACCGACTCGACCGTAGCCGCTCCGCCGCCACTACTAGCCGCCGCGATCGAGACCGAGACCGGGATCGCGACCGAAGGAGCCGTTCCCGTTCCCGTTCCCGTTCCAGTTCACACACTCGCTCCCGCTCCCGCTCCCACCGCCTCTCCTCGCGCCTCGACCACAAGGAAGAGCGCGCCTCGCACACACGCATGGATGAGGTCCGCCGGCGCGAGAAGGAAGCCAAGGCATACCTCGCCGCCCAGCGCGAAGCCCGCGAAAAGGGCCTCCCTATTCCCGGTATCGACGACAAGCGGAATGCTCTTAACAATAACAACCACAACAACAACAACAACAACAACAACAACAACAATAATAATAATAACGCTGCCGTCGCCACTGCCGCGACCCCTGCATCCGAACATGCCGACGATCGGTCCCCCGAGGCGAAACGCAAACGCGATTTGGAGGATATTGACCGCTACGTGCCCCCCGGACGGGATAAGGAACGGCCGCACGATCTAGTCTCGAAACGGGACGATCGCGAACATGACCACGAGAGGGATAGGAACAGGGATAGAGACAGGGACGTGGACAGGGACCGGCATCGAGACAGGTCTCGTGACCGCGAAAGGCGTGATCGGAGGAGGAGCCGGTCGCCCAGCCGGACCCGGGACAGGGGCAGAGATCGCGATCGGGATCGCGACCGCGACCGCAACAGAGACAGGCGAGATCGTGATCGTGATCGTGATCGTGACAGGGACAGAGATCGGGACCGCCGCAGCCGGAGGGACAGGAGCACGAGCGTCTCGTCCCGCCGCGACAGGAGCCACAAGGACCGTTAGCTGACTCGGTTAGGACTATGGCTCGAGGGTATATGTCTTAGTGGTGATAGAACGAATACGTGTAAGGGTTGGTACGCGCCTCAATTGGTTACAATTAGAAGATAACGGGACAACATCCACCTTACCGCCTGTCAAAACGCACCGGAATCCAAGACTATGTGACAGGTAAAAACAGCTCCATTGGCAATTGTGTCCCCATGGATTCATAATGTTGGAATCCCCGACACACTGATTACTTCAATGGTTACAACTCGGTTCATCGTACTAGACGTGACAGGGTGGACTGAGATGGACAAGTCATGCAGACCATGGCCCGTGAGATGTATTGCGTCCATGAAGACGTCTCTAAAAAGAAATGCAATCTCTTGTCGCCGCAGCATGTACGGATGCGCCCAGATAGAACAAGAAGAAAAGAAAAGAAAAGACAGTGCGCCCTTTTAACGCCCTCGCTGCAATAAGCCAATCCCAAGACCATTCCCAGTCCAATGCCACCCATCCTTTTCTTGGTCGAGATCCCCACATGAGACAGACACGACAAACGTTTCTATTGCCCTTCAAAGAGGGCCTCACTCCACTCCCCCGACTTGATGGCCGAAAACGGATTGACACCGGCGCTGGAGTAAAGGTAGCCGGTGACGAGCAAAGCCAAGAAGAAGAGGAGCACGGCGGCAATGAGGCCCCGCCTGACGAGGGGGGACAGGCGGCCATCTTCCGGGTTCTTGACGGCTTTGCTGAACCAGACGAAGCTGTTGGCAGCGGCGGTCTTGAGCTGGTCCCAGCTGGTGGAATAGAGGACGAGGCCGAAGATGGCTATGGAGTAGCCGATGCCCTGGAGGAGGGAAATGTTGGTTCGCCAGATGAGGATGGAGGTGGCGATGAGGAGGATGTTCTTGAGGATGCCGGTCAAGGTCATGACGAGACCGGAGGTCCTACCGATGAGGGAGACGCTGGCAATGTTGAGGATGAAGGCGACGGCGGCGTTGAGGAGCAGGATGAGGAAGCCGGTGTCGTAGAGATGGTGCGGGTTGAAGGTGAGGGCCTCGACGGGGATGGCGACGAGGAAGTTGGTGAAGGCGCAGATGGGGGCGTAGTAGTAGAGGCTGACGAGGGGGTCCATCTGCTGGGCTGAGCCGTTGGAGTCGTCTCCCTTGAGGAGCACCTGGATCATGACGAGGCGGACGGCCTCGAAGCAGGTACCGCCGACCTGGAAGAGGAAGCCGAGCCAGGAGAACTCGATCTCACCGACGGAGGCGAGGGCGACGCCGAAGACGATGACGAGGATGTTGAGGATGGTCCTGGCGTTGGGATCGGCAACGCCCCAGAGCCAAGAGACGAAGAGGACGGCGACGGGGGAGGCGGACTTGAGCATCTGAATGAAGGGCACGGAGAGGTAGACGTAAACGAGGTTGGAGCAGACCAGAGAGCCCGAGTAGAGGAGGCCGATGGGGACGATGGCTCGAAGGTACAGGCGGCCGGTCATTTTGACATGGTGGCGGTTGTCGAGGAGCGAGGTTGTTCGGGCGAGAAGCTGTGTGGCGATGGTAGCGAAGATGAGGTGCCAACAGGTGAGAATGACGGCTAGAGAGAGCATTCGGTCAGTCCATAGGCCACTCTGCAGAAAGCTAATCAAATGTAAGGACCCGAGGCCCGAGGGGATGGGGATGACGAGGAATGCATTCATGGCATCACATGGTGTTAGGGCAGCAGACGCACGGTATTCTGTCACAAAATGTCAGCTTCATGTTGGTTATTCAGGGCGGGGGAGGTTAGGAAGAAGCGCTTACTGAAGCCAGCGGTGTCGAGCAGCCATTTGTTGAAGATGATAGTGAGATTCGAGAAGAAGATCCAGTTTCTGAGATGATTAGCAATGGACATGAATGGCAACGAACATGACGACAACGGCCGGCTCGACCGCTGCTGAGGGTGTTCAGACGCTCACGCAATATAGTAGGCCGGATGCAGAGACGGGGACGGGGCGCTGATCGGCTTATCATCCTCGGCGAACGGGAGCACGGAATAGGCGGCGGAAGGCATGGTGGAGAGGATTGACTGAAATGCCGGAGAGCAGAAGCAGGAATTGGTCAGCACGGCCAAGTCAGAGGGCCAAGACGATCGGAGCCGGCGTGGCTCCAGGCCCTTGTGGAACAGAAACCAAGGACGGGCGTATGATGTGCGACCCGTGACTGAGCTCGAATGACCCAGTGGGGAAATTAGAGAGATGGCAAAGGACAAGCAGTTGATGAATGGTCGTCAAGTCGTATGCGGGCGAACGACGATGCAAAACAAAGTCGGAAAAAAAAGAAAGGGATCAAACTCGCTCACAGCAAGGGAGAACGTCGGTGATGAGGAGGAATAATATGAAAGGGGGCTGGGCCTCTGAGGGGAGTTCTCGTTCAAGGCCCCACTCTTTCGAGTAACTCGGGGGTATGTCAGCCGAGAAGGCTGGAATGCCGATGCCAACGTTGCACTGTCGAAAGGGGGGGGAGAGAGAGAGAAAAAAGCTCCGAAGGGAGGCTGTCGCGTGGGTCACGATGGTAGGTATAGTGCTGTGCTACCTAGACTGAGCAGAACGCAAGGTACAACTCCGTATTTTAGGCGTTTTGTTGCCTGCAAAATTGGCGTGTGAGACCTGGAATTCAGAGTATCATTCGATTCGCTATGCTCGATCGTTGTCAGAGGAATCGTTGAAGCAGTCGATGATGGTCGCTCAGAAAGACGGGCTGGAAGAGTAAGGGTCTACCTAGGTAGGTATCATAGAACGATTGCAAATTTTCCGTCGACTGGCCCAAGAAGAGATATTTTCAAAGTGAGCCGGGTATCATAAGAGTTGACACGAGACTGAGTGGGAGAAAACGAGAGATCAATTGGGAGGGAGGAATATAGGTACGAGAAAAAGAAAGATGAGAGAGATGAAGAGAAAGGGTGGGCGGACTGTAAGGTACGGAATATCCGTAAGGTAGGTAGTCAGGTAAGGTAACCATACCTCGCGACAACATTTCGTACTCTGTACAACTCAAAGGTGGAAGATGATATGAACACAATTGTACTTCTACTTCCCCTACTTCGTATTACCTACTCCGATGGATCGTCAATTGGAATACGGAGTACATGACGACATGCAACAGGAGCTAGAAAGCTTATTTCCTTGTTGAAGCTTGTTGACGGACCACACTACCGGTAATAAGGGACGTTATGGATACAAAGTGCGGATACATGCAGAGCTTCCAATGAGGTATGAGGTAAGGTCCTGAGATAGGCGTTTAGGGCTTCCAGGTTCTTCTTATTATCGGCCGTTATTGGTGCTGATGTCACCAGCCTTGTCGGTCCCCGATGCCCTGCCGCCGGTTCTTTTACGTGTGGTATTGTTGTTGTTTTCTTCTTCTTCCCATCTCTAGACGGCATATCAACACTGATGCATCGGATGGACATTGTATAAACATCCGCAAACTTTAAGACGTATCCCTCGTCCTTCGTCTTTCACGGAAACGCGACATCCCATGATTAGGATGGTTGTGTTATCCCCAGGGGTAGTAGTTCCGGTAGGGCTCTAGCCAAGGCTGTATGTTCCGGTAGGGCTCTAGCCAGTGCTTGGCTACGGCGTATATTTGGGTTCCTGTCGCTGTTTTGCTATGAGACCGTGCCCGCCGGTTCGTCGGATTCAACACCCGAAGCATGTTCCTGACTCCCCATGTTTCCCCTGTCTCTCGTTCGAACTTTTGATTGTGCTCCCGTGCCAGTGTCCACCAGCGCCCAAGACGAACAAAATAAAAGGGAAGAAAGAAAAGATGAAAGAAACCCCTCCAGAGCCAGCATAGTATCCATTGTAAGACGATACGGTCCAACCTCACGGCTCGACCCTTATGTCCTTCGCTTTTGAAACCCCGGATCTCTCGTCCATTGACGCTCTCCTTAGCCGTAACCTTCTTCCCACAAACGCCATCGCTATGCAAAATACACCACTCCATGAGCAGTACCACTCCTTCCTCTCTCTTAACTTCGTCGTCACCCGGGTTATGGGCGCCTTGTTGCATGAATCGAATCTCATGATAGGATTTAAGCTGCCTCTGCCTCTCTGGACGCGATCGTCTCAGCCGCCGCAACATTCTCAGTTCCGCTATTGGCGTCAGAGGCCGGCGGTGCACGGCTGGGGCCGTCCTTACCGGATGTATGGCTTTCAGCCTGTGGCACGGGAGTTGCTGCCTCCTCCGGTCTGTCCGCGGGCCGGACTTCCTCCTCGACGGAAGTATATGTCGAACTACCGTCATCATTCCCAGTCATGGCCTCTTCACCCGGTGACGACGACAACACCTTCTCTGAAGAGGCCATCACCGTATGGTGTCTTTCTCTCCGTGCCCCAGCGCCTCTTTTCACCTGCACCTGTGATGTCAGGGCGCTAGCAGGGTCGACGCAGTCGTAGAACAGCATGAACACGCCCCCCTGCGCGAGAACCGTCTCTTCGTCCACCTTGTAGACCGTGTCGTCGCTGAGCCGCCACCACTCCGTCTCGGCTTCTGCTTCGTTGCCGCTCTCCTCCAAACACGCATCTTCTTCCTCCTCCTCCTCCTCATCCTCCTCCGTCTTCGTCTCAGTACGACGAAGCTGTGGCTGTGTTGTCTCGGAAGATTCCCGCCGGTCGGCTGCGACATCGACGTGGTCGACGACATCGTGGTAGATGACATCTTGGTCACTTGCATCGCCCGGCTCTTCCGATTCATTCCTGACAGATTCCCTTGACTTCGCGGCCTCCATCGGCTTCGTCGCCTTGGGGGGTGAGGAGCGAGGGAACTTGCGGTAGCAGACGTAATGCCCGTTTTCATGTCTGCCGTAGTGTGTGATCACCGCCCGCAGCTCGTAAAAAGGCCCGGTGATCTTGGATTGGCCTCTATCTCCCGCCACCATGGAGACGCGAGGTCTGAGGAGCCACTCTTCCCTGTCTGGGTGGGCAGGCACCACCACCGGGAGGGGCCCTTTGCCCTCGCCCTCGCCCTGACCCTCGCCCTCGCCCTCACCCTGGTCATCTACCCTCTTGAATGTGCCCGCACTACCGAGACACCATGGGCCGAGGTCCAGAAGAAGAGGAAACCTCACAGCAGCGCTGTTTTTCCACATGTACCCCGTATTCTCATCGAACGCAGACCGGTTCATGTGGATGACGAGGCTTTGCGGTGGCCGCGCAATCACCGTCTGCTTCGTCTTGGTCGACGTCACTTTGAGGTTCGGGGGGATCTGGCACTTGTCCGTGATGGTCTTGTCCTCAAAGTCGTCGCGGTCCAGGGCATCCTCCACCGCCGCCATCCTCGCGCCGTGCTGGCCCATCGTCTCACGGCTCGTGCCGGACGCGCGCTCCCGGACGAGGAGGGTGTTCAAGAGGCGTCGCATTTTGAGGAGCGTGCACTTGCCGCACTCCACGCCCTCGATGGACTCGATGTGGGCGTAGGCGTCCAGCAGCTCGAACAGGTCGTGCTCTGCAGAGTTCAGCCCCAGGCTGAGAGTCAGGCAATTGAAAGGGATCATGGAAAGCCCGTCGCAATGCCCGCATTGGACGCAGGCAACTCTCTGTGCAACCAGGCCCTCGAGAGGGTTGTGCGATACGCTGGGTGCCGAGGACTCGGTCGTGGAGGAGACCGAGATGCTCTGATAGCCGCTGTCGTCGCTGTGTTGGCTCGCAGTCGTGTCATCCACGGAGGTGGGTTCGTCTGTGACTGCTGCTTTCAACTCGAGACGTGGGAGGCTATTCTTATTATTTGACTGGGCCGCCTTGACGATCTCCCGGTCGATCTCGTCCAGCAGCTTCGAGTAGTATTCTTGCGCATCTTGCTGCTGCCATGTGCTCATATTCTTGAGAGAACCGGGTGTCCATAGCGTCCTCCCGTGGTTCGATGCGTCGTTGAGATCGGCGATCAGGGTGCGTAGTGTGACCGCGGCGTGATACTTCTTCTGGTTGGCGGCATCGAGCTCGATGTGTCGAAGCTGATCGGAGAGGTAGCGCGGTAGCGGCTTCAAGGATGCGAGGCCTTGGAGGATACTATTCTGGTAGCACGAGTTGTCCAGATTGCCCAGGCCGGGGGGCCGGTCCGAACCACCTTTCAGGGCCATCATGGCGCCCGAGAAGGATGCGAGCCCCCTCTGTCCGGCCTGGGTCACGGTGCCCATGACGCCTCCGCCCGGTCTGTCGAAGCCTAGTACCCTCTGCATGAGTGCGCTTTTGGCGGCATGGGTCCTCGCGGGACCTTGGAGCATTGGTCGAGGGACCAAGGGGGGGTGAAGCAAGTTGTCGATAGTATAGAGAGCTCGGTAGGGGACGACGAACACGAAGGCGTCCCAGAGGATGTCGAGGCGGGCGGACGAAGTCCAGAGCAGCGAGGTTACTAGAAGGGCAGCGATGGAAACGAGGACGGTGGGCTGTAGAAGCCTATCCTTCAGATCCTGCCCGGCATAGAAGGACTTGGATGAGTAGGGATCGTTGTACAGTGCCGAGTGAGCTCTTTGGGAATTCATTTTTCCGCGCCCCTCGCGACGGACAATAGTCCTGTCGGTTGATGCCTGGAAGTCGGTCGAGACGGATGGCACCGGGAGGATGCAGATCGTGTATATCCGTAGCGTATCGTATCGTATCGTAACGTATCGAGATTAAGCCTGTGTCAAGGTGATGAGGTGAGGGTGAGGGTCGGTCATCTCCATGCCGAAGTGTATTTTGTTATTCTTAGGAACGGGTGGCAAGCGAAGTCTCGGGGAACCCGCAGAGATTGCTTATAGTGTACGGCGTAATGGGTTATTACATGTTGGGTTGATTTTTATGTGGGAAGGGAAGGGAGGAAACATGACAGAAAATCAAAATGCAAATAAATGCAGGTCGAGTGTCCTGCAGAATCGTAAGGTAATTAATTACCTTGGTAATAGCCAACCAAGCCTTGAAAGGTCGGCGTGGGGACAAACGGGTCAGATGGGCCAGACAGAGACTACCTTACGAAGTAATTACATGTAGTTCGCCGTACGTTGTGACAGTGCAACTACGGAGTACGTACCAAATTCGGATGCAGTTGGACAAATCCAGGTCCGTTGATAAGATAAGGTACAATGGGTCTGTAAAAGGACCGAAGCACTTTTTCCCCACACTCAGCGCGTCCAACGCGTTGCGCCTCGCCTCTTTGAAATTTTCCCAACGCCCATAATGATAGCGCTGAGCAGCATGATACCACATTCAAGTGTTCGTCTTATAAAAGTAAAACAATTAGGATAAGATTTCTCTACGAATTCGGGGTTGGACATCGAAGTATCCATCCCAAATCCGTACGGACACAGATACTCTGTACCGGTATATGTACACATTTCATCGGAGTGGGGCCAGTGCATAGGCCACTCAAATACACGTGACTATCTAGGCGGAATCTGAAAACACAGCTCCGACCAGTCTCCAGCAACGAACGCAAAGACTGGGGAATATTTCGGTGGCATTGCACCAGGGTATTCGCCGACACAACATATCTGGGCCTGTTCGTCGAACGACGTTGTCGGTCCGGTAACCTCAACAAAAGGATGGCCACGTCAACACAATGCCTTGCCTCCATGGCGAGGTTATCGCTGACCCATATGACAAGGCCAAAGCCGGCCCTAGTACCCCGATTCCTCGTCCCGGCCGTCAGTCATGCCCAGACCCAGACTCGTGGCAGCAAGAATCTCGCCAAAATGCGTGAGCTGGCGAGGAAGGAGAAGAAGAAGAAGAAGCTATCAAAGGAGTTCAAGTCGTGGGATCCGACCAAATATCCGCAGTTTTCCCTCTGCGATGCCATGCGGTTCGCTTTTCCCTTTTCCCTTTTCCCTTGCTCATCTCACCATCTACCCTATGTCACATCGCAACGTTATTTGGCTAACGGTTTGATGCTTTCCCACAGCTACCTCCGTGCCTACGAGGTCGGCCGCCCCCCAACAACCATCAAATACGAGCTCGCCGTTCGCCTCAAAACCCCCCGAAACGGCCCCGTCATCAAGGGCCGCGTCCGCTTCCCACACTCCGTCAAGACCACCGACGTGCGCGTAGCCGTCATTTGCCCGGACAACAGCGAAATTGCACAGCAAGCTCTCCAGGCGGGCGCCGTCTTGGCGGGGCAGGAATCCCTCTTCGAGGCCATCCGCAACGAGAACATCACCTTCAACCGCCTGATCTGCCACACCTCCTCCGAGGCCGCCCTCAACAAGGCCGGCCTGGGCCGCATCCTCGGTCCCAAGGGTCTCATGCCGAACAAACGCATGCGCACCATCACCGACAACGTCGTCAGCGCCATTCGCGACGATGCCGGCGCCGACGAGTACCGTGAGAGGTCGGCCGCATTGCGCATCCCCGTGGGCCAGCTCGGCTTCACCCCCAAGATGCTGGCTGCCAATGTCAAGACTTTCATGACGAGCATCAAGCAGGAAATTGCCAAGTTGGATGGTGCCAAGGAGATTAGGGAGGTGGTGCTGAGCTCCTCGCATGGACCGGGCTTCAACTTGAACGGCCTGTTCGATCCTACCGACGACAAGGTCACGCCCGAGGACCTGTCTCACGTCATGTAAAACCATGTCACGCCAAGAAATGGGTGCATCAGTTGTATTATATATCGTTGTTGTAGTTGTATAAAAAAGAACCACAGCGAAGAGTCATGTGCCGAGCCAATTCTATCTAGGCTGATTTATTTATTTTGGGTATCATGTGTTCTTCTCGCCCTCCTTTCGTTCCCCTCGACCTGATAACTGCGTTTGGCTTTTCACACCCCCTTGAGCACCTTAATTGCCTCGCCCTCTGCGTCCAGCATGCCATAGAGGCCGAGGTACTTCATGACGCGAGCCTTTCCCCTCTCCCCCGCCTTCCGAGCCTCCTTAAGGGCCGTCCCGAGATCCAGTAGCAGCGTATTCCGACATCTCGTCATGCGAGCCTCTGCCTTTATCACAAAAGGTTTATCCCTGCCTACGGCGTCCGCCAACGCCTCAATCACGCAGTACTCCGCGGCCAGCGCTGCCAGTTGCGCAGGACTGCTACCAACCAGACCCTCGTAATCATCGTCCTCTTCTTCATCCGAAGAAACGTCACTGGCCGCCACACTCCAACCATCATCCTCAGCTTTCTCTTTGCCCATCTTCTCCTTCCCCGGCAGGCTCCCAATGGCCAAGTGTTCTTCCAGCCCTGCCAGTCGATCGTCGAGTTCCAGCATACGCCGTCCGGCCTCGATATCCTGCCGCAGGGTCCGCAGCTCGCCCGTCAACCCTTCAATTTCCTCCCGCCGGTCGCGCACGCGGGCTTTCACTTCGTCGACCTGCCGCCGGAAGCCGAGCATGGCCACCTTGACACCCTCGGCTTTGTCGTCCCCGCCGCGGAGGTCGTCGCCGAGGGAGAGGAACGAGGTGTAGTTTCCGTTGACGAGGTCTAGGAGCTCGGCGCTGATGGCCGCGCTGCGCTCTCGGAGGTCGGATTTCAGGTCGTCCAGGGTTTGGTGGCGGTGAGGGAGGGAGGAGAGGTAGGCGGCCGGGTGGAAATCGGGGGTAAGGAAGTCGGCCCGTGGGAGGGCAGCGGGGAATGGGAGGGGAGCATCGTCGTCCGAGTCGACGTTGGAGCTTGGGGCTGATGAAGTGGATGAGGCTAGTGCGAAGCCCCTGGCGGGCGCCCGGATACTGAGACCGGTCATCTGGAGGGTGAACCTTCGTTGTGGGAGGATATTTGGCTACCTCTCGGCCATCCAACGTAAGTTTACTCGGACTTGTGTTTCGTAGGTAGTGGATTAGCAGCGAGGGATAGCCAGCATATGGTGGTAGCAGTTGTAGCATGGGTACGTTCTGTGGGTCTTTTATGCTTAGTCACAGACCTCACCTTTATAAGTGCCATATGCCACTTCTTCTTTCGCCTTCGGGCATTTGGTCAATTTGAAACGATACAGAGAAGATGTAAGTTGACCCACCTAGAGGTCCCCCTTTCGAAACGCAGAACTAACAACCTTTACAGTAGCATGGCCCCTGCACTAAGGATGACACGCTCAATCAAAGAGAAGCTACAAATTTTTTTGTCTTTTCAAATTCCTGTGCATTTCTTTCTTTTTTTTTTTTTTTTTGGCTATTCTGCTTTGGGCAGTGTAGAGTTTCTGAATGGCGGAAGGAGTCTCGGGTATTCCAATGAAGCAAATGGAACCGCGTGAGTCGAGGTGAGGAGCTGCCTTTGGCTTTTTATGGTGGCTCGAACTTTGGCTCTGATGATGACTCTGGACATTACTGGATCGCCAGTGGGCCTCTCGAGGGTCAAATGCGTGTCTAGTTCCCCGGCTCCAATAGAGTCGTAGGTTAAACAATGAGTAGGTTCATCTGTGCCAGCGTCATTAATAATAAGAACTCTGATTTGCGCTACGCTCACAACAGCAGCCACGAGTCGGTACGAGTGCTATGTCTCCGATAAAACAGCCGTGACGAGAACCGACCACGGACTGTCATGTCAGTCGTGCAAACATCACCTCCGTTGGTCATCAAAAACATCAACGGGTGGATTTGGAGTATTGTCGATGCCCGTGTCGTCTCCTGGACTGACAAGACAAGTCAGTTCTCTCCAAAGGGGACCTGGTCTCATGGGTCCATATCAATTTGAATGTGAGCTATAAATTGTTTTTCCACGCGCATAAACATATCGAGAACATAGTACATGTATCATAACTATCATAAAAGCCGAATATACTACTTCTTGAGGAGTCCGCAAACATCAAATCTTCCTCAGAGAGAAATATTCGTCGTACGCTGTAAATAGCTAAGAGCCTTGATACGACCTGTTTGACTTGTTGCCGAACTCTTTCCTTTTCCCACCACCCGAACAGAGGGTGGACAAGCTGGAAAACACTGAGATGTCGATCAACATGGCATTGTACAACATGAACCACGATGATACGTGACCTTTCCAGGGAGTCACTATTGAGCACACCGATGGACGACCTGGATAGCTTTCCCCGATGTCGGTGACTAGAGATACTTGCCACGGTAATGATACGGGGTGTTCTTACCACATTGTTGGCCAAACTCGCCCGATGGAAGCCACGTCTGCAGGGAAATGGAGAAGAATCACAGGAAAACCTCAACGATTGGAGAAAACCGAGGGCCCTGCCCTGGATCTTTGCGTTGCGTGAGGAGCACACGGTCGGAAGTCGAGAAAAATTATCTTATCAATCTAATCACCATCAGGCAATTCTATTGGCTCTATGGATCAGTGCTAGTTCCAATCTTCGGCCCCACTCACTCAGGTGACTTGGCTTTGTACCTGACGAGTCTCACGAAGTTCTTCTTAGGTCGCTCCAAAGTTAGTCTTTCCACGCGAATCGCATCCAGCAACACTGAAAAGCAGCCTTTGCTACCAGCAGAGAGCCATGCCATAGGATTTCCTACATTCTAGAGTCGAGTGATATGATTCTCTAAAGATCAAAGACTTCTAGATTGCCAGGCTCTGTATGTATGTTGCCTCCTTTCCCAAGTCGACCAATAGACAGCTTAACATTAGTCTCAAATGTGCTCATATTGCGTTTTCCTTAAAACTCCTCTCTTACCTCCACGTTTATGGAAAATGGTTATGATATCTCTGCTTCGTATTATTTTCGTCTACTTCTAAGATAAGTCGAGAGGCTTTTTTCATATGACCTTGATAATATCTTTCGATTTCAACGATTGCAGTGCATGCATACAGAGAGAAGAAGCGTCGAATGTATGATGGTGCGAGAGATACCTCCGAGGTACTTTGAAAGAGACCCTTGTGACACACACTTCAACGTCGACTCCACCGAGCGACATCGCTGAGAGCCGACGAACCGCCATTTCGTATTCGTCGTCGGATCACTAGTTCTGAAGCCCAGAATGTCTTCTTTCCCCTCCCCCTCTTCTTCTCTTTCTTACCCCTTCACACCCGAAATCAAAACCACTGCAGCCATACCTGTCTCCGACCTCATCTCAATCACAGAATCAAGGCCGACAGAACCACCTGGTGACGCACGCCAGGCCCACGGTAGTCGCAGTTGGGCGTCGGGGGCGTTGGTTACATCACTGCACCGCTCACATTCGACCACCCCATCTCTCTCCTCGTTGACGTCCTGGTCGAACTCATACCCACTCATTCTTCCGCCGCTTGACGCAACTCACAGAACCATGACTTCCATCATGGCTTCCCCACCAGCAGAGCTGCCAAAGCTGGTAGGTTCCATGACCACAAAGGAATGGGTCATTCCGCCTCGGCCGAAGCCCGGTCGCAAGCCGGCTACCGACACTCCACCCACCAAACGCAAGGCCCAAAACAGAGCCGCGCAAAGGGCCTTCCGCGAACGACGTGCGGCTCGGGTGAACGAGCTGGAGGGTCAACTAGAGGAGCAACAGGAAGCGCACGACAAGAAGGAAGCCGAGTACAAGGAACGCATCCTCCAGCTCGAGATGGAGGTCCAGTCACACAAATCTCGGTGTGAAGTTCTCCAGGACCTCCTAGACCAGGAGAGGAAGGACCGCGTCAAGGCCGAGACCCAACTGGACAGCATCAGGCGGAGGTGGGACAGCCAAGACGACGCCTCGGGACACTTCCCCGTTCTACGTAGAACCCTCGCCCCTTCTTCTTCGTCCTCGCTTGGGAACTTGCCCTCGGTACACCGACCCGGCATGGGCTCTCATGGCCACTCGCCGGTTGATCAAGTCCGCCACATGGAGACGTCCTCATCTGGGAGCTTTACATGCGGATCTTGCGGGCCCACTGGCCGTTGTGCATGTGCCGAGACCGTCATCAAGTCCATCGAGACAGGCTGCGGCAAGTGTGGACCCGGGAACAGATGCGACTGCGCGGGAGGGCCGTTGCAGTCAACCTTGCCCGACTTGAAGAGGCCGCCCGCATCTCCCACCTTACCTCCTATCGAGAAACGTCAGCGATCTGACTGGAATGTGAATGTGGACGACTCGGCCATCGAGATCGACTTCACCTCTTATTTCAAGAAACCCCAACCGCAAAGTCTTCACCCCCCGGCCCCTTCCCCTCCCGCGATGCCGTCGGGCCCCGTACATGACCCCTGCGGCTTCTGCAAGGAAGGAGACTACTGTGTCTGCGCCGAGGCGGTTCCCTTCTCGCAGCAAACACAAACCCCGCCACCCGAGGCCGATGCCCTCCCGTCGATGCCGATACCCATGGAGGTCGACGCCGACGGTGCAGTAAAGCTTCGGCCACGCCAGTCGGCGGCCATTCCCAAAACAGACGCTTCCTCCCGCGGCTGCGGCCCCGGCGGACCAGGCACCTGCGCCCAGTGCATCGCAGACCCCGTCTCCGGACTCTTCTGCCGCGCCCTCTCTGCCAACATCAGCCGCCAAGGCGCAAACGGCGGGTGTTGCGGGGGCGGAGGTGCCGCAGGCGGTTGCTGCAAGTCGGGCAACGCGAGCTCCTCTTCGGGGCCCAAGGCCGAAGAACGCAACACCGGCTTCGGTCTCAGCCTCAGCTGTGCCGAGGCGTACCAGACGCTCTCGAGCCACCGAAACTTCAGCAAGGCCACCGATGACATTGGATCCTGGCTGCCGAAGCTGCGCGCTGCGCCGAGAGCGGGCGCAACGTTGCCTTCCCCGACGGCTTCGTCCAGATTACCCATTGAAGTGGAGGCGGCGAGTATAATGAGCGTTCTCAAGGACTTTGATATTCGCTTTGGGAGGGGTCTGTAAATCGGGTCGGCATGGCGTTGGTTCTGCTCGGGTGGCCATTTCATGGGACGTACAAGGAGTCAACAGGTATGATCATGGAATATGAAGGGAAAGAGGCTCATTGGGTTAAGGCATCCTGTAGGGCCTGGCCAGGTGGACTTTGGGCCCTCCATAGGCGTCCATTTTGCGAAGGAGATGCGAGCGACATAGCAACGACACAGATGTTGTAATTAAAAATGAATAAATGACTATAAGAGGTTCCGACTGACGGAGCTTGAACATTCCAAGACACAGGTGTTATATGTTATGTATACTCCGAAACTCAACATGCATTAACAGGAAGGACTAGTTTCTTACGCATCTCCCATCTCTTGCTAGAGGTTTGAAGGTTCAAGCAGAGGACTACGTTGATATTTCTTCACCATCCTCCGAGTTGGCGGATCAAGAAGCCCTGTCTATGACTTCGACCATTGAGTCGAGGAGCTAGCAGGTTTTCATGATCAAGCAACACCCCCTCTCTTATCTTACCAAGGTAGTTACCGGCAGTCGAGAACGAACGATTAGGTACACTTCCCACGCCATATCACCCACCTATGGCCTGCGTTGGCACGAAGGAAGAAAATGTGTAACCCCCATTGGCGGGTAACTAACCTGGTCCCCCATGGGGTCGTCAACCTTCCTTGGGCTCTGGGCCCAATGCGAAATATTCCTTCTTTTCCCGTTCTTTCTTCTCTTTTTTCCCCCTTTTGTGGTGCAAGTTCCTGTAAGGCCGACCCAGAATGAAGATGACACCTCCCACTCGGGAGCCGCATCGCATGGTTACACATGGGGTCGGATCCTGCTTTCGTCTCAAGGCTCCCAAAGTAGGAATAGTTTTTCAGGCACCGTGGTTGGGATATGCCTGAAGAAGACACTTGGTGCCAGGATAAGGCATGAATTCATTCCGTTCGGGCAGACTGGGAGTTGGGCGGTTGATGCCCGACACGAGCACTGGGCCGTTGCGAGGGCAGGGCAAAGAAGTCAAGCTCCGGTGCTTCAGTATTGTCGGTAGTGGGCCACTATGTTGAAGCAAAGACGCCCCTTGTCCTTTGGGTATTCTGCTTGCTTCGGAAATCATGTGATTATATACGACGAGTTACTTTATGCGGCCCTCGATCATCATTAGACCAGGGGTCATCGGTTATCAGTCGTCTGTCTATCCTAGATATTCGGTCAACGGTCAAGGTCAACGGTAGCCAGAGATGTGCCGCCCTCCCTCAGGCTTGCCATTTTTTGCTGGTGGGACATCCGTACCCTCGTCCTCGCCCTGCCCACCTTATGTGCAAGTTACATTAAATTAGCGGGTGTGGCGGGGATTCAAGGCGTAACTGCCGATCATGGGAATACCGGCATCCGTTGCCGCCTTTTCCAATACCTTGGATAAAGAGCTACTACAAGGGCAACTCCCGCCGAGGATCTTGCATGGGATGCATCAGGTGCCCTGAGCCCTGGGCACTGGGGTTCCTTAGATGGGCCTGCGACCTGATAATGGGAAATGATGTCATCGCTCCCTCGAGGGTAGGGCCTCAAAAGTTGGGACAACACACGTACGAAGTACGAGTTGAGGACATTGGTTGGATCAAGAAAAGCGGCTCAACATGAACCGGGACGAGAACTGTTCAGTGGCACGAATTCCCTAAGTAGTCCCTCCGCAAACGTGGCCCGGGTGGGCTAAGTCGGGAGGGAAGGACACATGGCAAGACAGGGTCTTGACAGGGTCTCGCGGTGTGACCGCTGACCGCTGACCGCTGACCGGGCGGGCTAGCGCTAGATGCTGTACCCTTCAGCCCATCCAACCGGCGGAGGGAGGGGACGGGGACGAATGTCAGATGCAGTGTAACCGGAACAGTCAGAATTGGGGTCAAATTGTAGAGTAAGAAATTGATTGAGGTAATAATTGTGTAGTTCTTGTTAGATACAGCGTAACCGTAAAAGGCCCCGTTCGACAATTTCAACAACTTATTAAAATTCTTCAAAAAGCCCAAAAAATACATAACTTATAACCCACCTATAGCATAAGGACCCATCTTATATAATACTTTTAGTGTAAATATTTTTTTTATGCTATAGCCCCGCTATACCCTTATTATCCCCACTTTTCGAAGTACTATACTAGATAGGGATACTATTAATCACTTTTATTACTAAGAAGGCTGTTTTTTATATAAGAGTGTCTATTAAAGCTCTTGGGCTTAATAGCCTATTAAAGATCTTCAATAAGAAAAGGTACCTAGGTACTTCAGACACGATAAGAGCCGATAAGAATATATAGAGCCGATAAGAGCAGATAAGAGATAATAAGACCTAATAAAATAAAAATAAAAATAAAAATAAAACCCGATAAGATAAGACATAATACGTTAAAACAAATACGATACGATAAGATATAGCAGGGACCCGGCTTTACCCTTTACGGTTACGCTGTATTCAATACAAATCGGAACACTTGTGGATCTCGGAGTATTATATGACATGTCATTCCGCGACAGAGACAGAAGGGGGGACAAGAGACGGGGCCAAGACGAATACCCACAGGCATATCCAGGAGGCAATGAGAGGCAATGTGAGGAAAGGCAGTGACATGGAGAGACGACTGACTATTGGATGAGAACGACAGGCACGACAGGCGAAATGTGGTGGGTTGATGCCGGGTTAGGCTGGCAGAGAGTGATTGGCTCTTGGGATGAGTTGGCATTGCCAGCCAGCCTCGTGGACAACGCAGATTGGACAGTCGAAAGTCGATGGGGGGTGAGGGGACGGACCTTTTCATACTTTTCCCATCCCTATCCACAACCAATTGCTGGCAATTATTTCGTATTAATTAATGCTGGGTGAGAGAGGGGGGAGCGGGCCGGGGCCGAAGAGAGAAGCGAAGTGAGAAAGAAGGGTATCTGTATCCGTACAACGTACTCCATATGCGCTTCAGTGCAGAGGCTAAGGTAGACGTTAGGTGAGAGCATGTACCAAGTACGTGGCCGGTGAAAGAAGCCGAAGAGATCGCACTGCCACCTCATAAGAAGAGGCAAATATCCAAGGTGGGTGACACAGGCGGGGCTATATATGCATATATCTTGTTGAGACGCATCGCATCTTGTGGGTGAGACGGATACCTTAGGTAGGATCGGTGTTGAAGTTGAAGAAGTGAGTTCTGACTCTCCGACTCCGTACACCGGGCTGCATGTGCGCGGAAACAGAACATCTAACGTGTACGAGGTACTATTCCGTCAGAGTGCTTCGTTTTGCAACTTTGAATTTCCTTTCATCCCCCTTTTTATTCGTTTCATCCTGTTTCGATATCCATGGGGGGGTTGTAATTGACCTGCCTGACCGTGAACTACACTTCACAGGACAGAAGCAACACGCCACGTCTTAGGATGAGGTTCAGATGCATGCCGTCCGACGTGATGAATATGTGTTGTTTGTTTGGTTAAGGTTGCTTCCACTTCGTGAAGTTTTCCTTCGGTGTACGGTTATGATTAAGGTGGTTAATAAAAGATAAGAGAGATTGAAGAGGCCTGAAGTGGCTGTCCATCTTAGTGTACCTTGGAGAGGTTGGCAATGCAGTGGCGAGAGAGAGCGGAAGGCTGCACGGGAGTTACGCAGGGATCTACAAATACAGTGACTTCGTGATGCCCAAAACGGGCTTAGTGGTGCCCTTCCATCAGTGACCCCGCCTTAGTCCTTCAGACATACAATGTAGGTACCTACCGCCTGGGTACATCGTACGAAGGTGGGCGATCCGAGGAAAAATATACAGTCGGTCAGTCGTACTTTCCTACGCACTTTCCTTACCTTAGGTACTCTGTTAAGGTATGTACGAAATGCCGGGTACCTTAGGGTGAAGCAGTGTAGGTACATTATGGAGCACTTGCCCAAGTGGCTGGACGTGGACATCGGATCTAATGCTTCACTGTTCCTTCCAGGTCCGACCTTCCAGTGGTTCCAGGTATCCAGTGGGTGGTACCTGCCACCGGTGCAGCTTATATTATGGTGCGCGTGGCCCTGCAGGCCCTGGTGGCTCCAACCAAGCGAGTCCACTGTGTCCCTGGCCGCGGCGGGGACGCACAGGCACAGACTACCTTAGGAAGTCACAGTGTTGTCGTGGTAGGAGTCATGTAAGGTAGAAGCCAGCGAATTACTTGATAGACTAAGGTACTCCATAGGTACCCCGTAGGGAAATAAGGCAGGGAGCTCCATCCTCGTCCCGCCTTTCTTCTGTTCTTGCTCTTGCTCTTGCTCTTACTCTTACTCATCAACCATAAGGGAACCTCCCACTCCCACCCCCTCCACTACCTCCCTGTTCCACCAACCTCATCCCATCTCGTCTCTTCCTCCTTGTCCCACTATCCTATTTTCTTAAACTCCTCTTGATACCCGAACCTCTTCGTACTACTTCGTTTCAAATGTCTTGCATGCACATTCATATTTCCATATCCTCGTGACATTTCTCCTTTCCAAACCTCTCCTCGGCCTCTCTCCTCCCTCCCTCCTCCTCTCTCCTCCCTCTCTCCTCCTCCTCCTCCCCCTCCCCCTCTCTCCGAATCATATCCGTCACTGGCCGGGGATTCTCGTCCTCGACCGCATGCGCAACAACCCGATCGCCGTTGCGCCGGAGGGAGTTGTCGACGGGGACGCTTAGAGTTGGCGCAGCCCCCTTAGCAGCTTCGAATTCTCCCACCGAGCTCACCCCGGTGCTGTGCCCTGTGCCGGCTTTTTTCGATCCTACCGACACGTCCATGGATGCACTATGATCTCCATGCAACGTTCGCTCTCTTCGCCCGTTCGCATTCATTCTTCTGCTCGTATGTCTCGAAACATCACATATCTACTTCAACAATCATACCTGACCCCCGAGTCCTCGACTCTCACATCCATCTGACCATCCTAAGCCTGGGGCCCCTCAACCTTTTTACTCGTCCGCGTGGTCAGACTTCTGCTAATCAGTACATGATCTACTATGTGCCATAGCCGTTTGTTCAGATGATGTCGCCCCCTCAACCGTAAAGCCTCCTTCGACGCCACCGACCCCTCCTCCCCCCAACGTCGACGCCCGTGTCGAACGTGTCGAACGTGTCGACATCCCTCGACCCGTCCATCGTCCTCGGTCGCGCAGTCCCACCCGGACATCTCGGACTATTGGTTCCCTTCCTCCCCGTCGGAGCGAAGATACCTCCAGGCATGCTCATGCTGATGCTAATGTCCATGCTCACACTCCTCGAACCCACCCCAGTGCCAGTGCCGACTCGAATGCGACCAGGAAACTCTTGGTAGCCCAGGACTCCCAACCTTCCCCGACTGCCCCCGCGGACATGGACCGCGCCATACATTCCTCGACGCCTTCGCCGCCCTCCCCCCCCATAGATATAGATGCAGGCCCCGTCTCGCTTGCTGCGTCGCTTATTCCCGATTTGTCTCTCTACTCCAACTCATTTCAGACCCAGGAGAATGAAGGCACGACCCTGGAGGAGCTGGCTCACCTGGTTAGGCTGTCCAAATACCAAGAGCGCAAGCGCGCCAGTACCCGGATCCGTCTCCAGCGGTGCCTTATTTCCACCGCCCTCTCCGCCCGCTTGACTCGCTGCGGTGAGATCGCCCGGAGAAACCTGGCCGACTGCTTCCGCAAGGACAACAAGGCCGTCTTCGCCCCTCTATACAATGCCATCCACGATGTCCGCAAGAGCTGTGACGAGCTCCGGCGTTATGCTCTCTTGGAACCCGAACTGGACTCCATCAACTGCCCTGTACCGCCTCCGCCGCCTCCCGACGCTTCCGACGTTGGCCCCGACTCTGTAGTGTCGTCCGTCGCCATTGCCCCGTTTCTCAACGACGTTTCTGCTTCGGCCCGGGAGACCTTCCTGGGCTTCCTGACCCAGATTCGCACCAACCCGGACTACTTGGCAACCCGTCTCTGCTCCCTGACTACCTCTGAACTGAATGCCCTGACTACCTTTCACCACGTCCTGGAGCCCATCGAGTCCGTCCTTCCCTCTGTGCATGGTCATGGTCTTGGTCGATCTGCCACCGGAGCCCGGACACAACCCACCGGTAGCGCCTCGGGCCGTCATGGGACGACCCAGCAGAATGCCGCCATTGAGCGCTTGTTGTCCTTCCAGCGCCACGATCCCCTTTCTGCCTTGATCCACACTTGCTTCGCCAACTCGGCCGGCCCTGACAGCGCCGAGGATAGGAGGCGCACCGACGTTTGGGCTACCGCCTTGGCCCGCCTCATCACCGAATCCAAGGCGAACAAGGTACACAGTGAGCACATGCTGATCTACGTCCTCAATGTCTGGACTGTCATGCGTGATTGGGCCGGTATAACCAAAATGGAATGGTTCCTTATGAAGATCCTCGAAGACGGCGCTTTCCTCCTGGACCGTGCCGAGGACCAGCACGGGACCCGTTTCAACCTTTCCGACTGGACCGCTAGGGACAGCGAGGCCGCCGATAGATTCTATGACCGGGCCGTCCATGAATTGTTTGACATCATCGATGATGAGGATGCGACCGGTGTGCCTGAGGGCCTGGTCGAACTGGGCAACGCCATCCTGAATCGGATCGACCCGAAGCTCGTCGACAGCACCAGGAATTGGTTCGTGTGGAAGTGGCTCTTTTCCTCGTTTCTTCTCCACGTCATGATTCATCCCGAGAGCTATGGCATGATGGCGGGATATCACGTTTCCGAGTACGGCCGCCAGACCATCCTCAAGAAGGTAGCCCTCAAGGCCCAGGAACTTGTCGTGAACATGACCTGCTACAAGAAGGGCATCTCCGCCATCTCTCCTCGGATCCAGGCCCACGTGGAGAACATCCTGAACAGGTTTCGTGGCGGGAAATTCCAGAAGCATGCAGCGAAACTCCTGCCCGCCCGGTCCATCACCTCGCTGAGGGAAACCGTCGAGGTCCATCCCTACCTGGTGATCAGTCCTGCCGATTTGGTTACCTTGGTCAACGCGCTGTTCCCTGAAAGGAGGCCCATGTCCGCCCAATCTAGCAGCATGCGATCCGTTGCGCCCTCCGTCTCGGGCATGTCGGGCCTCTCGCAGCCCATATCCATGGCGGCTTCGCGCAGCAACTACGAGACGGCATCGGTCCTGAGCACCAGCGCTTCTTCTTTCCTGAGCGACGCCACCACCTCCCGCGAAACTGCGCTGGACGATCAGCGGGCGGGGTCGCCCTCCCGCTATTCGCCCCCTACCTTGGACCTACCGGGCCACCAACGGTTCAACAACTACGAGGACGACGGCTACCGCTTGCGTTTTGCCCTGCGGGAGTTGAGTGCGACCCTGGGAATGGATGTCATGCAAGGCTCCTGCCATCCCTGCGCCGAACGCTGGACCGTCCTCTTCATCTCTGCCGACGGCAACGGCCTGTCCCCGCAGATGGCCTACGACCCCGAGGACGAGGCCGAGGACGACGAGAACTCATCCACTACAGATACCGACGAAGAGGATGTCGAAGGGAGACCCGAATTGGACAAGGGATATCATCAGCTACGCGACGCTATCCTGCGGTTGGTCGAGGACTTTGAAATCCCCCAAAGCATCGAGCCCGAGGGGTCTCGGGCCCAGTTCAGCAACCGGGCCATGGGGATCAAGCGGTATCGCTCGAAGAACAAGGTGATCACGACGGAGAAAACTCACATGGCGAGTAAAAACCCCTACCGCAGGCGCGATGCCGTCGGCCAGGATACGGAGTCCCGCCGAGTTGGTTCCCCAGGCCGACATGGTTCCAACTCGGCGACGATGGAAGGCAAGCCGAGCAATAACAATAACGACTCCGCCGACTCGTCCTCGGTCCTCATCACGATGCTCGCGGCGGCATCGTCCCAATCCCAGGCTCGATCGGACTTTGTGTCGTCCCATATGTATTGGAAGACCCTGCAGCGACTGAAAGCCCTGACGTCACCTTCATTGCGCCGCGACGGCTTTGCTGTTCTCCTGGACATTTTCTCTCGGGGTCCACGCGACTCCATTCGTCGGTGCGCTTCGGCTATCGAGCAGTATGACGCGTGGCTCGTGTGGCTGAAGCAAAGCCAGGAGAGACACGAGGGCCTCATCGAGGCGATGACGAAGCGACTGCGCTCGCTGCGGGACAAGATGTGGTTCGTCTCCGATGTGCGGACGTCGGGGCCGTACGAGCACAGCCGCAGCATCTGTGCTGCGCTGAAGACGATGGGGAGGCCACGTCGATGGGGCGCTTATCAGCGCAACAACAGGACCCCGTCTTCCGCACGGGGTCAGGGGCAAGCTTCCAACTACATCCATCGCACCGAGACCCAAATGATGGACCTCTTGTCCGCCTCGGAGGACCAGGGCGGACCCAACAAGCTCAAGGACGACCAGGCCGACAAGACCTCGCGGTGGCTACAGCAGGCGGACATCGCCAACTTTTGTCGCGGCGAGGAGAGGATCCATCGGTTCTGTTGTGAGATTGACACGTGCATCTCCAAGCTCATCGGAGAATCGATCACGGACGGCCCGGTTCTCTGGTCCAGTGAGCTGTACCTCAGGGACCGCAAAGCTCTCGAAGGCACCAAGGCCGGGCGGGAGAAGGATCAGGTCTGGCCTCATGGGCCAGGAGGGGACGACGGTGCGAGCGTGGTGAGCGAGCCGGAGCGGAAGCTCGGTTCGTTCGGCCGGTCCTCGGGCCTCCGCGCGCTTTCCGCGCACAACCTGAGCCAACAGTCGTTTGATTCCGGCAGCTACCGATACCCCAGGGGGATTGCCGCCCTGTCCGACATTATCGATGGCCAGGACTATTTCGGTGTTTCGTCCCCAGTGCACACGATAGATTCGAGCTCGACATTTTGGTCGCCATTCCAATCCGCCATCGCTCCCAGCTCGGCAGCATCCAGGGGGCACTCACCGACTACGAGCGTGACCAACCTGTCCTCGTTGCTCAATCTTCCCTATCAACCCCATCATGTCCCGTCATTGTCCAGCCAGTCGACGACGGGTCGACCTGCCACATCAGCGTCGTCCAATGAGACGGCAGTCTACCAACAGCGACTGTCAGAAGACAAGACGCGCTTCTTTAGCGAGTTGAGACAGACATTAACCAGTCTTCTCCTATCCGACTTGGGCCATTTCGTGTTCGCCGCGGGTTCGGAAACGGATGCGTGGTTCGAGACGCTTGGGCAGGAGTGTATCGAGCGGCGCGATGCCCTAGATCGTCGAGCCAAGGAGGCCAGGGAAGCGAAGGAGGCGAAGGAGGCGAAGGAAGCCAAAGAAATGTCATCCGCGTCTGTGAAGAGCAGGCCGCCGAAGGCCAGCGGGAAGCTCCGAGTCATCGAGAAAAAGAAGAGCTTCGGGAACCTACGCAACGCAGGCGAGGCGGACAGGAACTCGGACGTTACGGATGTCGGCAGCAGTCACGGGCGCGATGGTTCGGTGATCAGCGACACGGCAAGTTCGAACCGCGGGCGCGGTCGTGTCGCGAAGGATAAGGACACGGACGGCGAATTTCCCTACAAACAGGCGTATCAACGACTCCTGCGCATGTTCAGCATTCACCCCAATCCTTACGCGAAGATGAACGCTCTATTCGAGCTTGAGCAACTGATCGTGGCGTCCCTCGCAAGTGGAACGAAGCGTGCACGACTGGGATGGAAGCGGTCGGACATGAGTTCGGCCGATTCGGATAGGGTAACAACAACAGGTCCCGGGCGCCCCGGCCCGCTCGGGGATGACATCGATAACGTCAAAGAGCGTCGCTCACACGCCCTGCAGCAGTCTCCCGCACTTCCTCTTGCGGCGGCGGGCGCACACCAGGCACGTTACGGAGTAGCCGATGCCTCTCGCTCGGGGGTCGCGTCCGCCACACTTGCCAATAAAGAGGTCGTTACCGAGGTGTTGCGATCACTCTTGCGAGACAAGACCATCCGGCCCAAGACGCTGTTCCGAGACCTGCAATTTATCGCGGCGTTCGTCAACCCCACCATCCTCGACAAGACGGAAAAGGGGAAGGCCTTCTGGGACACGGGATTAGCGGCGCTGGCTCTCAAGTCAGAAGTGTGCCAGACGATGCTGGACGTGGCGGACGAGGTACAGAAAGCGTTCAGAACCAGTAAAGGCGCCAAAGACATTCAACCGCAGGACGCCGACGCCCCCGCTCCGCCGAGCTCTCCCGCGCCGGTCACATCTACGTACACTCTGGCGGATGCGGGCAGGATGTGGACGATCCTAGCCAAGGAGGGAGATACGGCAGCTCAGCGGGAGCTCGCGCTCTTTTACTTGATGGACCCTGAGCTCCTCGAGCGCACGACGCTCCCGCTTTCCAAGCCACGCGAGGTGTTCAAGCAGGCCGTCATGGACAAGTACGGCCGGGGCTCGGGGCAGTCGAGGGGACACAGGTTTTATTCCGGCGACCGGAGTCGGACGAGCGCGAGTGTCGGTCTACAGGGTTCGATGCAGGAAGCGGGCGCGGAGGAAGGTGCCACTGTGTGGAACGACCCGTCGCTGATGTGTATCGCCGTCCACTTCTTTCAAGCTGCTGAGCAGGGAGGTGATGGTCCGGCCACGGCCTTTCTGCGACAGAACGAGCTCGGCTGAATTCAACGCGTCTTTTTCTTTGTACAAGGTCCTTGTTTGTACATGTAAGGGGAACATGGACTCTGGGGATCTTGAGGGCCATGATATTTTTTTTTTCTTGCTTTAGGCATGTTCTTGAGTGTTGGGCATTGGTTTTGAGGACGCGTCTGAAGGATATTCTGTATTTCGGGTTTCTGATATTGTTGATGGAGGATATACCACTTTGAGCTTACTTTTGTTTCGTTACATACCCTGGAAGCATTCGTATATTACTTGATCTACGGGAGGGAATGATAGACATAAAATGTACTGCTCATTCTTGTGTATCTCGGCCTCCTGCTTTTGAAAACAACGATATACGCGTCGTATGGATGTTGTTTATTATAAGGAAGAATCTCCCGCCCCTCTAGCAGAGGGTAGAAAGCTAAATACAGTAACCCCGCTCTAGGGCGGGTTACGTAACCCGCCCATCACTTTGCCGTTTGTTCGTTTGCTGTATCATGTGCTGGAAGCGAAACCGGAGTGTGGATGGAGGGGCATTTGTGGCGCTGGGACTATGACTCAGCGTGGCGTATAGGAAATGATAGCGAAGCCGGAGTCAATCAAGTCCTCCGAATGGTGTAGTTGGTTTATCACGTCGCACTGTAATTGTGCCCTATGCATCCATGCGAAGGTCCCTAGTTCGATTCTGGGTTCGGAGACTTTTTTTTTTTTTCGTTCTTTTGTTCCTCTGTTCTTTTTTCTTCTCTTTTCTTTCTTCTCTTGATTTCCTTCTTCTTTGCCACTCGACTCTGCTTCCAATGATTCACTTGTATCTCTTTGTACTCTGTAAACATCGTCACAATGTCCGAGTCTATTGCCCAAGATTAATTCGGTCTCTAGACAGAATTGTTTTAAAACGAAAAGATCTAAAGCAGACTCGTCTCGTCTCGTGCCCATGCCAACAGTCCGTCCCATGTGAGCGTTGAGCTCTTCCAGTTCCCTCTACTGTAGAGATTGGCTACCAACCCAGAAAAAAAGAAGCAACACCGAAATACAGAGAAAGCCGCCCCAAATAAACCCCGACCCGACCCAAATGTTGAAAATGAGGGTACTACGCTCTGACTGTAAACGCCATTGGGGAAATGCGACAATGAGAATAAAGAAAAAGGACCCAATTCGTGCGACAGCATTCGGCATGCGTGTGCTGTGTTACGCTGTGTGACTGTGTTGTGTCGTGTTACTGACTGCCCGTGTTGCGTCGTGTTACTGTATTTGCCGCCAAGGGGACGTCTGACAAATAAGTCGCATCCCCGCATTGTACGGCTCTAGTGTATTGCGCTCCTTCACCGGCGGAAAAAAAGACCGGAGTAAAGAAAGAGAAAAAAAGGGGACCGGAGTTGCAAGGCTGAGTGAGCGGCTCAATCAATTCTTGAGCCCGACAAGACTGAGAAACTCGTTCCGGGTCTTGGACTTGCGCTCGAAACAGCCGAGGACGCAGCTGGTGATGGTGGTGGCGGTGGTTTTCTGGACGCCGCGCATGACCATGCAGAGGTGGCTCGACTCCATGACGACGGCGACGCCCTGGGGCTTGAGGATCTCCATGATGGCGTTGGCGACCTCTTTGGTGAGGCGTTCCTGGATTTGGAAGCGGCGGCTGAACATTTCGGCTATCCGGGGGAGTTTGGAGATGCCGATGACTTGGTTTTTGGGGATGTAGGCGATGTGCATCTGTTTTGATTTCCTTTCGTTAGTAAAGGGGGTGGTTTTTTTATTTCTTTTCTTGTAGTCCTCCTTTCCTGATACTAACGGAGGACGGGGGGGATGATGGTTTACCTTGCCCGTGAACGGCACGAGATGATGCTCGCATAGTGAAAAGATGTCGATGCCTTTGACAATGACCATCTCCGAGTGGCCTTCCTCGAAAATGGCGCCGTTGACGACGTCGCGGACGTTCTGCTGGTATCCCTCGGTGAAGAAGAGCATGGCTTCCGCGTAGCGTCGGGGGGTGTCTAGGATGCCCGGGCGCTCGACGTCTTCGCCCACGCATTCGAGGATGGTGCGTACGGCACCTTCGATCTTTTTCTGGCGCTCTGCCTTTTGTTCGTCCGTCTCCTCTAGGCGCTCGCGAGTTCCGCGGCCTGCGCAAGTGTCTTGTTAGACTGGGGGGGGAGGGGGGCCGGGGGAAGCAAAGAGAGAAAGACGGGGAGACGGGGGCCCACGTACTTGGGCGACTAAGACCGTCAAAGTCAATGTAGGGACTGAGGGACCGTGTCAGCTTGCCATTGTTGGCGTCGGTATCGGCATCGGCATCGGCATCGGCATGGCCATGAGCATCAGCACCGGCATCAGCATCGACGCGCGGTCGTTTGGTAGGCTTGGTGGTGAAATCACGCGGGTCCCGAGCCGGCTGGGTCAAGCTCGGGCGCCTGGTTGAGAGTGCGGCCGATACGTTCACTTTGGTTCCGTTGACGGTGGTGCGACTGCGACTGGACTCCTCGCGGTGCTTCCTCTTCCTGGAACCCTTCTTGCTCGATTGACTCGCCGTACTCACGCTGTCGGCGTCACTGGAAATGTTGGAGGAGCCATTGAGGTGGCTCTGGCCGCCATTGCGATTGCGCTTGCTGCGCTTTTCGGACGCTCGGACTTCTGAACCACCCATTCTGAGTGAGGCGATATAGGTGATCAGGAAAAAAAGAGTGCTAGAAAAGAGAAGGGGAAAACACAAGATGAGAGAGAAAGATGAAGGTCGGGTGGCATTGATCTGCTTGGTACTTGAGGGGTTTTGATCCTAATTCGGAACTCCAGTCCAGGTCCGAGTCGGAGCTGTCCGTACTTAATAACCAAAAAAAGAAAGAAAATAGTGGTCGGTTATAAGCGGAGCGAGGGGGCGATATCATATCCGACTTCTCAACGCTTATCTTATCTTAGTGTAAGTGGTCCCACGTTTTGACGTGAAGCAAGGTCGGCTACAGCTTTATGATCACTTGTATCACGTGACCTGATTGGCCTTTTTCAGAAGCATACCTAAGTACGGAGTACGTACCTATACCTACTAAATGTATCAGTACAGAGGTACGTACCAACACGGGCAATCGCCAAACGGTCCAGGGATTCACGTCTCTCGCTCGCTCTTCACGACTTCAACTTCAACAACAGAAACGCCATCTCCCAAAACTCGTGCCTTCCCGACTTCCTGGCTCCCTCCCTCCCTTCATCCAACTCTTTGCGGTTCTATCTTTTTTGCTTTTAGTACCAACGACCAGAAACCGTCTAGATACATCGTTGTAGACTCTTATTATCCGCCTCAATTCCCACCATGGCTTCTCCTCCATACGCTCAATCGTCAAGTGCCCTCTCACCATCATATTCTTCGCAGTCACAGCTTCCCATGGGTAGTAAGAAGCGTCCTTCCGAGGGCGGCCCACAACCCTCCATCAAGCGACGTAAGGCCTCGACTCTCTCCGTCGCCTCAGCCACATCCGCCCACCCACTCCGCCAAACCTCGTTCCCCCCGGAAGCTCGGTCGCCGCTTGCACGATCACCCTCCGTCGACACCACAAGCCACGTGAGCGGCAGCCAGGTCAGCGCGGCCGCCGGGCCTCAAAAGAAGAAGCGCGGTCGGAAGCCTAAGAACCACGCCGCCGCCAACGGGGGCAGCCGCGCGGGGACGCCGTCCGTGGCCAGCGGGCGGGCGGGGACCACGGTCAGCGGCGCGGGCACGGCGGCGGACGGACAGAACGGCGAGGACGGCGGCGGCGTCGACGATGACGACGACAACGATCCCCAGATGGGCCTGGTCGGCGGGGATGCCAGGACGCAAGAACAAAAACAGGAAGAGATCCGCATGCGGGCCATGTTGGTCGAGGCGCTCGATCCGGACCAGATGGATCGCTACGAGCTTTGGCGCGCTGGCAAGCTCACCGAGTCTGTCGTCAAGCGGGTACGATACGATACCTCCATTCTCTATTGCCCCTCTTAGTCTTCAAAGCTTTGCTCTAACGCCGTTTCTTTTCTTCTAGGTCGTCAACGCCACTGTCTCCCAATCCGTCCCTCCAACAGTAACTCTCGCCATGAAGTCGGTAGCCAAATTCTTCGTCGGCGACATCATCGAAAAGGCCGTCGAGATACAGTACGAGTGGATGCACACCACGGCCGAGAAGCAATCGGACGAGCCGTTCCCGCCGCAGGAGACGGACAAGGACGTCAAGGGGGACCTCAACCGGCTGGGCGAGCAGGACAAGCGCGGGCCTCTCCGGCCCGATCACCTGCGCGAGGCGTGGCGGAGGTACAAGGCCGCTGCCGAGGGCGGGTTTGTCGGTACTCAGGGCCTATGGCACGAGCAGCAGCATGATGGGGCGGAGCGCTTCCCTGTGCGGACTGGCGGTCGGCGGATCTTCAGGTGAAAGAGGAGAGGGGGGGGGGGGCTCGTTTTCTCAGGGACAACTCCTCCTTCCCAGATTCCTCGGATCCTGCGAACTGTTCGGAGAGAAAGGGGGAGGGAGAGTTCGGAGATTTTGAGAATACCAGGGAGCTGGCTCCTTTGCTTCGACCACTTCACGATGCTCGCACAACCACATACGAAAGGAAGCGTGGCACGGATTAATTGTACGAATATAATACCCTTCTATTCATTCGTTGGGGCGTTCCAGTCAGTCGGACAAGGATGGCATGGAGCATATGGTATTTGATCCCTCTTCAACTCGCCCTGGATCAGCCTTGTACTACGCCGTCGTCTGCCGCGATGAGTCTTAGCATCGACATCAACGTGGCTATGGCCAGAGCTTGGCGCAGGAGTGCCAAAGCGACCAAACTCGGACAATCTTTACACGTGGTCCGTCCCTCTCGCTTAAGCTGTCATGGCCTGACCATCCAGGTAGTACGGTGGTCTGCTGGGCTGCTGGGCTGCCGAGAATGCTCAATATTGTTTGCAATATTGATGCTGACAAGGCGTGACTGAGGTGACACGGTGAGCAAACAGCAGCCCTAGACTTCCCGTCTTGACGTCTCACTAGTCGGGCAATGTCATCCAAGCTTCCCTGGCTGGAGGAGCCCCCCTGGGTGTACTGGTAGTTGCCACGTTCGTCCAGAGGTAAAGAGGGATGCGTTCCCCTCTTAGATCCCTGATTGCCAAAACATGGTCCGAAGGAATCTATAAGAGCCCCTCTGGCCACCTTTCAGGGGTCGTCGAGATTGCCATACCGACTAGGCCAGTAAACCCTACAAGTGAACCCTAATTTACCCAATACCCTGGCTACGTATGTGGTATACTAAGCCAACATGCGCCAGCTTCAGCACCTCTTCCTTCACATGATCGTGGCCACAACCATGCTGCACAGCGTCACCCTCGCGGCGCCCCCGCCCGAACCCGAAGCGAAACGAGCCGTGGACGTCGTATCCCGCGTACTCTACCGGCTCAACTCGCGCCTAGACACGCTCAGCCACTTCACCGCCATCTTCCGACACGACAGCAGCGCAGAGCAGTACCACATCCGCCAATACTCGGAAGCCCTGATCCACGAACTGCAGCACGGGACCGAGATGGTCCGAGGCGAGGCGAGAGGCGGCCTCTCCCGCCAAGACGTGTCGCAACTGGGAGACAAGATCGAGGTGCTGCGGAACAACTGTACCGCCTTGACCGTATGCCTTTTGGGGAAGAGGGCCGAGTTCGAAAAGCGGGACATGTGTGATGAGGTTCGTGGCCGCATGGATATGGTTAAGTACGAGGCCCGGGGGTTGATAGGGGAGCTCATTGACCGGTGGCCTCAGGAGATGAGGTGGCATGCGGAGGCGATAGCTACTGCTGTTTCTGGTCCTTTGAGCGAGGTCGAGAAGGCGTATGCGGTGGGAAAGGTGTGTTGATCGCAGTAAAGGTTGGAAAAACTGGTAACCTGAGGATGGTGATTTTGAATTAGAGGGATCTAGGCTCAGGGTAGTGAAGACCCGGGAGGAGGAACACGCACAACACAAGACGTCTCCAAGGACATTTGTGTGCGAAGCATATTTCTTGATGATAAGCTTGCCGCCCTCGACAGAGAGCTACAGAGGTTGGTACGCTTTCTTGAGCTCGACGAGGCCCGGGGTAGGCTCATGAGTGCTGTGCAGCGCAGCAGGCCGTCCATGACGAAGGTACCGTCGTGCGGATGGTCGCCAAAATCCCCCCACCCCCGTATGCGTCGTAGGCTTTGCCGTCGGGATCTTCCTTGTAGAGCCCGTGGTTGGCCCACTCCCAGATATATCCTCCCTGCAGACGGCGATGGGCTTTAAAGGCGTCAATGTAGTCGTCCAAGCCACGGCCTCGGCGTCGGCGTCGGCCTCGTAGTGAATAGGGCGACCGGGATCGACCGACTTGCCGTACTCATACATCGCTTTATGGTTGCGGCCGTAAAAGGCCTCGTTGCCCAGGGACCAGATAATGATGCTGGCATGGTTCTTATCCCGCTGGACGAGCCGCACCATGCGATCGACGTAGGCTCCCCGCCACTCGGGGTTATCAGAGGTGGATTCGGCGGCGGGCGGGAAGGTCCGCCTCTTGCGTTCGTCATAGTCCCATTCTTCGGGAATGTCCAAGTGCCGGGCGATGGCGTCGTAGAAGCCGTGGGTCTCGAGGTCTGCCTCGTCCATGACCCAGAGGCCGAGCTCGTCGCAGAGGTCAAAGAGGGCAGGGTGCGGGGGGGTAGTGGGAGCAGCGCAACGAGTGGATATTGTGCGCCTTCATGATGAGCAGGTCGCGCTTGATGTAGTCGAGGGGCCACGGCTCGGCCAAAACGCGGGTGGTGCTCGTGGCGGTTGACGCCGTAGATACGGATGGGCGCGCCGTTGACGGTGAGCAGGCCAGAGTTGATTTCAACCTTTCGGAAGCCAATGTTCTGACGCACGGCGTGAGAGCCGAGGCTCATATCAACGCAGTAGAGGTAGGGAGTTTCAGCGGTCAACTTGTTGGGGTTCGAGACGGGAATGTCGAGGTCGACCTTGGTGTCGTGCGCGTTCACGCGTATCTCCTGTCATCATGGAAGATGCCTACAGTAAAAGAGGTAGGTGGTGAGCTTTGCCTGTTGGGGACTATCTGGCCATGTACGAGCCGGAAAGCCACCACTGGTCCTGGTCCTCGATGTACGTGGCGCTCGACCACTGGTAGACCTGGACGAATAGTTCATTCGAGCCAGGCGTTGATGAACCAGTTGGAGATTTGGTCTAAAGTAGCAAAGCGCAGTTTTCGTTGGCGTTGTTTCTTGAATATTACGCCTCCGTGTAAGTTTCTAGGGAGCGCCGCCCGTCAATTAGGTTTTTTTGCTAGACATCCGTTGGGAAACTCCAGCGTTTCTGACACCGGTCGCGAGTGATAAAGGAGGGGGTCACGTCCAACTCGGAGGCGTTCCTGGAGCCCTCGGCGTAGGCGACAAGAGCGCGGTTGACCCAGACATGGTAGGCGCTGTCAACTCCATCGAAACGCAAGCGAAGCTGGGAACCGGAGGACGGTGTGAGGGTGAGACTGATGGTGTATGGGGAGGGTGGTGATGGTTGTCTGGATTCTCTGGCGTTGGGAGAAAGAAGGAACAAGGAAGACATCGTCCAAGGCGGTGTCACTGTAGGGAAGTGGGGGAGGTGGGAAAGTGGAGAAGCGGGGCAGCGGGGAAATGTCACTACTCCCCGCCGACTCCGCTAACTAAGCGTTGGCGGTCGCTGTAGGAAATAACTTAGGTAATTAGCTACCGGCAGTTAGGAGTCCCTAGAACCAGGGGACTAATCATTAACGCCCTCTTCCACGCCCTCTTCTACGTCACGATATTTAGAGCACGTCGCCCTGCCTCTAGAAGGTAGGGGAGGGTGGGGTTGGGGGGGGGCATAAGCCGTTATGAACTTATAAGCTAATAGGTATGTCCATGATCTGTGAATAGCCTCACTTTTCGGCAGCTACTGACAGGGGTAGGTATATCAATTCAATCAATTAATTGACAATCAATCAACTACACGGCGCCCAAAGTGTCAGTCAGTCAATTTTATACCCTCAAATTGATTTGATTGCTCGAATAGCAACGCTGCCCGTCTGGTTGCAGATGGTCACCTCGGGCATCGTTGCTCTGGGCGCCTTTCTTATCCCCGAGTCCCCGCGCTGGCTCATAGCTAATGACAAGCACGACCGCGCCGCCCAGGCCCCAGGTCCTTGCTAAGTACCACGGCGAAGGCGACGTGGATCATCATCTGTGGGACTACCATGAGCTGTGGCATACGCACTCCGCCCATCGCCGTCTAATTTGTATCATCGGTATGGCTTGCTTTGGCCAGATCTCGGGCAACAGTCTCTCCTCGTACTGTAAGTAGTCTTGTCGTCCCTGTCGTTCAATGTAAAATGCGGGTTTACGACGTACGGACACTCCGAAACCGGCGTTGGTCAAATAACGGATACAGCTCGTCATCTCGGCCACCATGTGCGTGATATCCACAGAAGTACATCGTGCGACCCTTCTTATTGTATGCTTGTTATGACGCGGGAAACAGAAGCCCCGAGCTCGTTACCAACATGACGCCCGTTCTCCCCCCCTCAGACTACGTCATTGTGCACAATCTTCGTGTCCTTGCTCCGCTTGAGTCCCTTCTTCGGCTTCAGCCAGGACTCCATCCCCTCCGGCCTGTACACCCTGCCCAATGGGCCCCCCATGCCAAAGTCCTCAGGCGGCACCTCCTGGGCTTCACGCGCCTGCTTCTCCGCCTCGCCTGTCCCCGTCTCCACATTTCCACTCCCGACCTCCACCCCACGCTTTTCACCTTCTCTCTCCTCCTCTCCCTCGTCGTCCTCGTCATCGTCTCGCTTCCTCTTCCCCGGTTTCCTTGCCGCCTTTTTCTTCCCTTTCCCCCTGCCCCCCGGCGGGTTCCTGACCTCGTCCTCCCGGTGATACGGCACCATATCGGCGATGAGACCATGCCCGGGCAGTCGGAATGCGCGCATCAGCTCGAAAACTGCCTGCTCCTTGTCCTTGCTTTCGATCATGAGGTCCATGTCGTTCGGGCACGGAGGCAGCGTCTTGACCCTGGCCGAGTGCTTCCTCCTCTCCCGCGGCGTCACCGCGCCGGCGCACGGCTCGCTGTAGTGCATCTTCTGTCTGATCCCCTTGCGCGTCCACGTGGCGCGGATGCGCGGGAACAGCTTCATGATGTCCAGGGTGCCCTCGCGCATCTCGTTCGCGTCAAACAGGATGTTGTGGTGATGGAAATCGAGCACGAGCGGTATGTTGAGCTCCTCGCACACCGGCAGCAAATCGTGGACCGTCCATCCCACATCGTCGTTCTCCAGTACCAACCGCCGCTTCACTGACGGGGAGAGGTTGGAATAGTTCTGCCGAAACCGGTTCAACGCCTCGGCCTTGTCCCCGTAGGTTCCTCCCATGTGTATGACCATGACGGCGTCGCGATCCTGCTGCTCGGGAAGACGAAGAAGCGTGAGCAGCTCGTCTTGGTAGTTGAGGTCACGAATGGCGGCTTGGATCACCTCGGGCCGTGGCGATCCGAGTTGCGTGAACTGGCCAGGGTGCATGGTCAGACGATGATCCAATTCGGCCGCCACGGCGCCCACTTCCCTGAGGGCCTCGGAGGCGAAAGGGGCGAGGGGGTACCCGTACTCCTCATGGCTAGCGAATGGGAACATCTCTGAGCTGAGGCGCATGAACTTGATGCCGAATCTATCATTCCAGCGGATCATCTTGATGGCGTCCCTCGCGTTGGCCAGCCCTAGCCTTTCGAGGTACCTCTTGGCAAGGTTGTCGTCTGGCGGTTTGGTCTCGTCAGGGCGGTTCTTGACGGGATGCTCAGGCTGGGATGGGTCCACCAGCGGATGCCTGTGTTGCAGAATGGAGGCTATCCTGCAGGTCCGAGAGGAAAACACCGGAGGGTTGGCGGTGCGAAGATAGGTGTTGAGACAGGCCTATGGGCGTTGTGTCAGTTTTAGTCTGTTGCGCAAACACTCGATGGAGGACGAGTATCGTCGCTCCTTAGAAAGAACAAAGGCATGGAAACGAAGGTCAACAGGGGTAAAGGGGAAAAGGAAGTGACTCGTGACTGTGTTCGGCTCAGGAGAAAACGCAGGGCACGTTCAGTCCAGGGGTTGAAAAGAAGAAGAAGAAGAAAGTGTCTACCAACGTAACCAAGTCTGCCCTTCCATGGGAGGGGCAGGTAATCGCTATGGACGGCAGGTGGCCTGCTCATGGCATAGGCTGTAGGGTCCCAGGGGACTTCGTCGTCCTGGGCGTCGGCGTCGATGTTCATCTCGTTGGCGCAATCTTCTGCGTCCTCGAATTTGAGCGGGGCCGTCTCGAGCTCTTCGGGAAGGGCCGGCTTCGGAAAGCCATCCTCCACGTCCCTGGGGAGGGTGAAGCCGCCGGTTCGGGATCGGGTGGCCGGGCGGCGCCGGAAGGGTTCCGGCTCGGCGTCGCGGGGGCCGCCCACGAGGCGGGACCCTTCGACGGCGAGACGTTCTCGCCTGACGGCGGACTGGAAGCGCTCCTCCATATCCCGCAGCTCCTTCATGGCCGAATCGACGGCCTCCGGGGACCCCCAGACATCACGCTGAATTTCACCCGGCGACGGACGAGGATGGGAGGTGATCTCGGGCTGTAATATGTCTTTCATAAGGATGGCACGTCGATGGCGCGTCGACCTGCGAGGCTGTTCGGGGGAGGAAAAAGGAGCAGTGTCTTGCGGCGGCTGGGGGTGGGACTGGTTGTAGGGGGAAGACGCAGACAACTTCCTCTTGGAGGCCATGGTGAAGTGCCTCGACGGGAGGCGTTGCGTCACTCGGGCGGTGTTGTTGGTAGCGATATGACGGAAGGGATTGATGGTTTTGATGGAATATGACGACACTGATAATATGGTCGTGGCAGGTAAGGGGAAAGCGGCTAATAACCGTGGCCACAGCCTCGAGGGCGACGATCCCCGTCCGGTGTCTGCTGTGTGATATTGAAGGCCTTGATTGGTCGTGACGGACGAAAAGCTCCCGAAGCAACGGGAGCGACCCGCGCTACCACACAAGTAAGAAGCGGCTTGAGTGGTAGGCAATGCAAGTAAGAGAAGCACTCTCAAGTGAAGATTGCGATGAATCTTAGCCCGTGCCAGATTGGAAAGCCTGGTAGACAGGCGACCGCCTTTCTTTTTCTTCTTTTCTTTTTCTTCTGTTCTTTTTCCGGGGGTTTTTTTTTCTTCCCCTTCCCTGCTTTTCTTCTTTCCTTTTGCTTTTTGCCCTCTTCCCTTTGATCTTTTTCCCTCTCCAGAGACGGTCGCTGAGGAACGAAACTTTTGCGGCAAAATGCGAGAACAATGTCTGGTCTCCAAAGATAAGTTTGACGTCGACCTGAGATATCTGTAAACACAACGGGGTAAATCGGATTCCCTGTAGTTTGATTGAGCTTTCGACGAGTCGGGTTCCACAAACACGGAATTCTTCAGCAAATAAATGGTAAGAAGATGGATGAGAAAGGAGAATAAGAAACAAATATGGGGGAGGATAAAGAGCTTGGAACACCGTTCGGGTCGAGTGCTGGTCATGGATTATTGGAACGTGCTAGGTTTATTGGTACATGGCGGAGCTGTAGCTCCTACGCTGATTGTAGCGTGAAATAAATGTCGGCTTCTACAGGGACCGATTTTATGAGGCATATGCGTGAGTCGATGGCAAAAGGGAAAGAGAGAGGGAAAAGGGAGACCAAAGAGGAGAACCGAATGGGTGGAAGCCCGTATGTATGGTGTAAGGCTAAGGCGCATTCCACATTCCAACGCAAGGACTCGATATACCCTGGTAACTACCAACCTACCTTACCTTGACCTCTACCTACCTTAGCCAATGGGTATCTGTACATACGGAGTACTTACCGATATACCTCAGGAGATTCCCAGTAGGTAGACATAGGGTTATTCCTTCCAGCGTCCTGCGTGCAGCCCTCTAAAAGGAGAATGGAGGCAGAACAGAAATGGCAAGAGCGACCGGGCCAAAATCTCCAACAGGTAGGAGCCACATCACACAGTACGAAGGCCCCATCTTCTGCTTAAACTTGCCACGTCAGTGATAGCGACGAGCCTTTTGTTCAGTAATACGCCATGTCCTCTGCCCGCGAAATACACGACGAAGCTACTTTATGCGTATATTTTCGCCTAACAACGTCAATCCAAGAGACGGGAAAACCGGGGCGACGGAACTTTTCGCCGTCCTATTTCCACTTGCACAAGACCGGCATGCTAAATTCGAGGTCTTCCAAATCGCCGATCGTCAGGGGAAATCGTGATTTCGGGCGTTGACGATCGACGTTCGTTCGGCGTACAACGTAAGCCCGCAAGGGCATGGCCACAACCACCCCCCCGACGCTCTCTGGGCATACACTGAAATGTGCATCTGTCATAAGTACCTGCTGAGTACAACACAAGACGTCCCTCCGATACGCTGTGCCTAACATGATACTTGCCTTTACCTTATGCATCCTTCTACCTTAATCAGTCTACGAATCAACGAAGTAATAACAACATACTCTCTCCGAACGCAGGACGGACATGGCCATGGTCGATGATTGTGGTTGATGAATGGATGGTCATCATGGTCAACCACGGAGGAAGTCTGAGCTGACGAGGGAACCCTGTCGACCCTGTCCTGTTGATAGCGGAGTCAGCTCCATCATCACCGGTAACCAATCAATGCATGAAGGATAATAAAGACCCTGAATACCTTAAAGATCCCAACAAATACCTCGGTCAGGCGATGCATCTTATTCGTTCCTCGATCATTACTGCCCAAGCCCATCGAATGTTGTCGACGACCATTTAAGAATGCAATCGTTATACCCTAACACTATTAGACCGGCACAGCTAACCACCGGATATAGCGACATGGTAATCTTAGGAGTCGCATTCCACGATGTTGAGGCTAGAGATGGGAATCTGCGAGGGAAAAAAAAAAGAAGGAAAAAGGGGCCAAGCATACCGTAAAAGACAAAAAGATAGATACATAGATAGATATGGGTATCCTCTCCTTTGCCTCCTATTCCCCAAACGTATTTCCTAAACTAGTGACGCGCCAGCAGAAACAATAAACCCAACGCCGTATGTGCGTTTCAAATGCGAAAGAGGACGCGTATTCGACGGCCATAAATGATGGAAAGCCGCTCTGGTCCTTTCCAGTCTCTCTCAAGATATTATGACGATGTGCCCTGTCTTCCTCGGGGCTGGCCCTTGGCCATTCTGTTCGGGTGATTTTTGAAAGAAAAAAAAATCGTTTCCTGCTTGGGATCATGCCATAATATGTAACAGCTAGGTAATCATGTCATGCTCGCCAATTACCCGATAACAACCTGGCCAGCACCTCATCATATCGTACCCGGCGGCTGGTTGTATCGCTTACAAAACCCAGCTCGAACTGCAGCGCTCGGTTCCAGAACAGCGCGCGGCAGATGGGACAGCTAAAGTGGCCCATGTGGAACCAGGTAGCCAGGCACTGCGTGTGGAACGCGTGGCTGCAGTCGCAGAGAATCAAGACTTCGCTGGCCAGGTCCGCGACGGGGTCGAGGTCTACGCTGGCTGCGAAGCTCACCAAGTCAGAAGAAGACGAGGACGACGACGAAGAAGATGAAGAGCGGGGAGCCGGGTCTGCTCCGCTGCCGGCACTGTCTCGATGGACCACCGCGTCGCTGCGATGGTGATCTGAAGGGACTTTCTTGTCCTGCTTTGTATCTTCAGCCTCGTATAGGACAGGACGCGGATCCGCATGCGGGATGGGAGCAGGACTCGAGTCGTCGGCAACATGTCCATGTCCGCTATATCGGGTGCCATTTCCTTCTTCGCCATCTACTACTCCACCGGCTTGACGGGGCCTACTCGCCGTAGTATGACAACGCGGCGGGACCTGGAGTTCACAAGCTGCGTCTTCGGCAGATCCGAGCTTCTCGGAGAGCCAAGTCTGTCGGGGCAACTGAGGCCGAGCCTCAGGCGACGGGCGAGCATTGGAATCATCATTGTTTTTTCCCACGACCGACTCCAATACGTCATGTGCCGTCAGTGTTGAGCCCATGACAGTGGTCTTGGCCTCGGAGATAGGCGAGTCAGGCGATTGGGGTGCGGCTTGTGCGGCTTGTGCGGCTTGTGCGGTTTGTTTGGTGCAGGTGGCTTCGTCGCTTTCGGGCGACGGCACTCGTATGCCCTTCTCCTCGTCTCTCGTCGCATGCTGCCTACGTAGATAGGTTTGGCTGGTTGGACTTGGACTTGCGACTTGACTCCTCAATCGCTTACACCCTGCTGCCACCTGTGATTCTGAACTCCCCAGGGGCGGCGATGCGCCGGGGCCTTCTAGAGCATTTCCACAGGCGACGCCGTCCCTTTCCGTTGGGAAAAGTGGGTTGAGGCAAACAGCACTGTTATCGCTAAACGTTAGCCCACGGTCAGAAACCGAAAAACGATCTTGTCCTGTCTAATCGTTTCCTCGCGATTGAACACGTGCTCTCGCCTCGACGACCCATGGGGGCGGACTCTGGCGCCTTCCATTTCTTGCTGTCCCCACCTTGACCAAAGCGCTATCCTCTTTTCCATTCCCTTGCCTGCCGCCACATAAAAGGAGATTCTCCTTTATCCAGTCTTCAAACTCAATTCGCGCCCCAAAGCCCATGCGCTTGTCTGACTACTGTCCCATTTTGTATAGTCGACTGGGACAGACCTTGTTTTTGGAACTGATGCGCCAGAGACAATTGAACCTCAAGTAGTATGTCCAATGCAGACAATACAGTAGATGTCAAGGCTCGCACTGCGAGCTAATGGGGCCACGATGGGGGCACTGGATTAAAACCACTCCACGGCTCCGTCCCCGACGCCCGAGCGGCCTTTTCTTTCTGAAATACGGAGTAGTTACTGGATTCTAAAGACGGGGACGACGCCCCTAGATCAATAGGCATGAACGCCAACCCGGCGAAACAGGCGCCAAGCCGAGCCGCGATTCGACAAGTGTTCGGCCCTGAACAACTTCACCGGGTGGGGGAGGGAGAGCGCGAGAGGAGGGAGGGAAAGAAATAAAGAAAAAAAAAAGAAGAAAAA